TTTTTTTTTTTTTTTTTTTTTTTCCCCGTAGCATACAACCTGCTGCCCGGTCCATCCAATCGCCTCTATTTGTCCCTTCGGAGCACATTACCATCGCACATAGATTGGGCTCTCTCCAGGCTACTGCACGCCTCCTACCATCACTCGGATCATCTTCTGCTCGAGCGCTGGCCAGGTCTTCTGGATGCCCTTCTAAGCTTTCCCCTGCGCGTCATCGCAGCATTGCAAGGGGCTCCACGCAAAGCCTGGGATCCTCTATTCTTTGAGACGCCCGAGTCACCTGACCGAGGCGCCATGCTTTTGGGTCAACCGGTGCCCGTCGATCTCTCTTACTCCGAGTCGCGAAGTCCCGCCGCTCTTCGAAAGAAGCAACGACTGGCGCTCGAGCAGGGTCATTCAGGATCAGCCACCAGACTTGGGGCACTCTCGGCCCCGGCTTCAGCCTTGGCGAATGTCGAAGACGAGCCACACAAGGGTGCTTCTTTCATGCCTTCTAGCGACGCAGCACACTTTGCCCTCGCTCTGCGGGCACTGAATGCCACGCAGGTGATTCGCAATCTTAGCACGAGATCCGAAAACGCCACACTTATTGCCCGTGGACGAAATCTGATTGGAATGCTTGCGGATGTGCTCTCTTTATCGGCTTTGGATCAAGAGGATGATAGCTGGACAGAGTTGGAAATGGTACGAGAGATGAAAGGCGCCTGGTTGGATATTTGCGAGGCGGTTGGTCCCAAGCTACCCTTTTACGGCAGACTCAAGAAGTCCGACGTTGCTAGTAGCGAGGCTGCGGTGGGCCGTGGCTCGGCAGTGCCTCCACATCCCGAAAGCGCAGCGGTGGGCGGGTCAGGCGCTTCCACTACGGGCCCTAGCGCTATCGAGATCTCTGCCAACACCATCCTTGCACGACTTATTCACTTTGCGACCCACTCCGAAGACAGGCAAGTCGTCTTGGCATCTTTGCGAAGCCTTGGTGCTATTGCAGACAATGAGCGCAATGAGCCAATCTTTGGCGACCCTGCCAAGGTGGACGCGGTCGCCAAGAGGTGCGCAGAGCTGCTCGCTGTAAGGGGCGATGCGACACTCACCGAAAGCGCGCTGGACTGCTTGTATCAGCTGCTCAAGAATAACAACAACGCGATCCGACTTGCGGATGGTGGAGTGACGCAGTTGAGGGGACACGCTCCGGACTCGACAGACCCTCAACATCACAGAGAACGACCGAGGGATGTGTCTGGCATGATTAGGCTTTTAATCAAGCAGCTGACGCACAAACGAGCTGTCTGGGACAGGGAAACGCCGAATTCTACGCGCCCGGACCTCTTCAGAAAGTTGTACACCGACGTGCCAACTCGAAGGGCTTATGAGGAGAGGCAAAGAATGGCTTTGAGTGCTCAGCAACAGGGCAGGACGCAAAGGTGGCTCAACAGCAAAGAGCTTGATGATATGAAGTCCTTACCGGAACCGGAGCGACTCTTTACTTGGTGAGTCGGCGCGCTCGATATGGACTGATCGGCGTGCAATGTCTGACGTTCTCACGCCCTTGCACAGGTTGCGAGCAGTCTACGAGTTGAAGCCTGGCTCCGAAGTGTCTCAGATGGAGGTCTGGACCACTTATAGAGATCAGTTCTCGCCGTTCTTGCAGCATCCCAACATTTCAGCCTTGATTCCTCCTGCAGACGTGATCCGACAAGTCTCGCACGTGTTCAGCGGGGCTTCTGCAATCGTCCATGGTGGCAATGTGTTTGTCATAAGCGGCATCGATCTCAAGGACAGGTCTTGTGAGTACGTCATAGGACGATGGAGAGCGGACAGCACCTCAATGCGCTATGCTGACCGCCATTTGCGTCTCACTTCGGGAACAGATGCGCGCCGCTTCGAGTGCAAATGGCGGCAGTGCACCAACAGAGCGTGTGCCAGTCACGACGACCTTGCTGTTCACGTTCACTGCGCGCACGCAACGCCAGCAGCTCGAGGGCGCTGCGGCTGGCTGACATGCTCTTACGCACTGCCTCCCGACTTGGAAGCGAGCTCTGCCGTCACGCTGCTTCGCTCTCACATCAAGGCGCACTTGCCTTCTGCAGAGCCAGCATTTGATCTGAAGGAAGATCGAGAACGCTGGATTGCTTACCAGACCATCCAGCCTTCCAAGCCGCTGGATCGATCTAGCATCGTAGAGCAGACGGACGGTGGTCGAAGGGTAGGAGCAGAGTTGGCAACTTTGAAGCGCAAATTGGTACTTGGCAGGGGCACAATCGACCGGCCTGACGCTGTACCTTTTGTCGTGACGAGGACGCCGATGGATGCAACGAGCGGGGCACCGCTGGGCGTAGCTGCAACAGCCGCCCTGGTCCTGCGCCTCTTGGCCCGAGCATCTTCCACCATCCTCACCAAGTCTGGCGTGCAAAGATCCGAAATGGCCAGCACGACATTGACAGGTCTGGACGCCTCTTTGGCTGGCGCAGAAGAGAATGCGGAAAGATTTGGTCTGCCATTACCCCCTGCGACTGCTGCAGGGAACGTCAGCCAAAGTGTTCGCCCGAGCGTGGAAGGAAGCCGAACTAGGATCGCTGCAGAGGGTGCTTCTTCCGGCAGACCGGCGACTTGGGAGATCAAGGCTGCTGAGCACATCATGGATGCGCTCGTGGATGCTGAGGACGAGCTGATGAGCATCGCTTCGTCCAACGATATCTTGACCGGGTGAGTGAAGAGCAGTCGATTGCAAATTCAGCGACCGCGGCACAAACAATGTATGCGTCGCTGATGGACTTGTGCCGAACTCCTTTTGCTTTGGAATCCGTCGCAGCATACTCAACGATATTCTGGTCACTCTGCAGCCGGTAGCTGTCGCATCTCTATTGTCCAGCGCCGACAGCGACGCATAGCGCGCAAGTCTTACCACCTTGTCACATGACCCTTGTCAGACTTCCGAGCCGCCAGGCGCTTTTGTACGAATATGGCAAGCGAATCGAAGCACCGTCTTTGAACTGTGCAAAGCCGGGCCACTCTCTCGAATCTGGGTGCCTAGTGTCAAACATGCGTGCATTTTTTTTTTTTTTGAAATAAGGGCAAAGGTGACGGGTCAGATTGCGTACAAATACCAAAGCACCACATGCCCTCAACCTTCGGGTCTCTCGTCAACGATGACCTTAAAAGGTACCTGAACGCGAGCTCTCATCTCTAGCGCTTGTCTCGCAGCAGCAGCAGCAGCAGCAGCAGCAGCGTCGGCCGAATGCGAATCCTTCGCTTCGACGCCGGCGCCGTAGAAATGTTGGCGCGAGTCGGATGAGAAGCCTCTGCTTTGGAAAGTGGGACATTCCTCGATGACGGCGATAAAGTTGTATTGACCCTTTGCGAGGAAGGTGAGGCCAGCACTGAAGTGACCTTTTTGATCGGGCAGTACGGGCCAAGGCGAGATGTTGCCGGTCAAATTGCCAGAAGTCACGAGGATGTTGGCCAGGAGCGGATCGTTGGACTGTTGTTGCTGTTGCTGCTGTGGTTGCTGTTGTTGTTGCGCGGAGAAAGCGGAAGCAGAATCGGAAGAGCTGCTCAAAAATGATGAGGATGATGCTGCAATAGGAATCAAACGATACGTCAAGCGCAATTTGCGCGCGCTCTCGTTACGCATTGTGCCGACAATGTCGATGTACGTCTCTGCTGTAGTGCGCAGCGTCCGCTCGCTCAACTCTGTGCGCACCTTGGATGCGGATCGCACACCGTTGTTGAGCGTACCATTAGTACGCTGAACGCCCTCATTTGCATCTTTCTCGGATGACAATCGTCCATTCGCCTCCTCAGAACCGACCAGTCCATTTTCCTGCACAGCGTCTCCACCTGCGAATGCCGAGATATGCAGTGAAAGCGAGAGAGGGTCCTGGCGCAGACATTGAAGGTGATCATCAGCGACCATCAACGATGAGAGATCGATGTAGCCTTTTCTTCCAGTACTCCTGTCGATCCATCTCGCACTCGAACTTCTAGCATTCGTGGACGCTCCTTCAAGAGACGCGTGTTGATTCGCTCCCCCGATGCCATCAGATAGGACGGCAGACGCGCGTTCCCTCCAACCAGAAAGCTTTGCCACAATATCTTGCGCAAGCCAAAATCTAGCTCGCGCGACGGCCTGCTCGGACGGCGATGATTTGGATTTGGGCACGACGAATTGGCGCGAGGATAGAGAAGGGATGGGTCTGTCCAGCTCTTCTGTCGAAATGTCCAGCCTTGGAAAGGGAAAGACGATCTGAGCTCGCGCATTTTGAGGAAGGGATCGTCGGACTCGAAGCTTGGAGTGATAGGCTTCTGCAGCGCGCGGAACACAGCACATGAACAAGTTCAGCACTTCATAACTCTCGATCGCTTACCTGCCTGACTAAGGGGCACTTGTCCAGACTCACCATCTTTGAGGGAAACGACAACTTCCACATTATTGCGGTGCGCATTGACAATAGGAAAAGAGACGAGGCATTCCTTGTCCGGTCTGCCTTGGAGCAATCTCTCAAACAACTTGGCATCAGCCAAGCCGTCAGGCAAACCGCCTCCCGCCCTTTCCAGCGCCTTGAGTCCATCCGCCAAAGTCCTGACCGCTTCGTAAGGTCTGAGCGTCTTCACCTCCAGCTTGCCCAGCTCAACAACGGGTAGGACAGTGATGGCTAGCGGTACGCTCAGTCTTCGATGATACCAATCGCGCGCTTCGTCCGTTTGTAATCCACCTCTTCCAGGTCCGTCGACGTAGGCATAATCCGCAAAGATGCTCAGATGCGTACAGCCTACGCGCGCTCTCACGTCCACCTGCAACTCGCGCGTCTCGCCGGGTGAGACCTGGTGCTTTGCGTGCCTAGGTGAGAGCGAATAGCTGAGCACGGGTGAGCGCAGCAACTTATCCTCGGCCAAAAAAGCCTGCGAAGAGTTCAGTTCTCCTTCGTTGAGCTCCTTCTTCATCTTTTCGCTCAGATTGTCCATAAAAGACAGACGAATCCAATCCACCGGTAAAGTTCCCGCATTCAACACCTGCAACCTGATCGTGGTTATTTCGCCATCTAGGAGGACGAGGGAGCCGTGGGGCGTGGAGGCGCTTTGAAGGACGAGCAGAGGTTGGGGGTCGACCACTTGACAAGAAACAATCTTGCTGCTGGGGGTCGAGACGATTTTCTTGTTGGTCACATCAGCACTAGTTGAACTTTCGTTGCGTTGTAAAGCAGCAGCCATTCTAGCCTGAGCAAGAACGAGGGGTCTAGCATCTAGTCCCGTAGCCTTGATCTTCAAGCGCCTATCGTCCAATTCGTTACTCTGAGCAATCTGCACCTTGTCCTTTGCGTCTTTGTTGAGTACCCTGAAGCTACGAGGCGCGCATCCCGATAGCGCAATACTGCATCCCCTGGCGCGAGTCGTGCCCACTTTGGTCGGTGTGCCCGTGAGGAGAATCTGATGCGTGGACAAGGGCGGCATGACGATCCCTCTCAATTCGTCCGGCACAAAATCTGCACCGCTAGTCTCCAGCTTGATACAATCTATTTCCAAGCCGACGGAAAAGGTATTTTGCAAGGTGACCACGAACCCGCAAGGTTCGTCGCACACCGCCGCCATCTTTGTCCCTGCAGCGTTTACAGACTCCGTGTTTGCCGGATTGCCTGACATTCCGCTGGATCCGTGATTCCAGAAAAAGGGATTGTCGAGTCCGGCCGGCGCATTGAGCTGCAATAAGTCTGGCGCATTCTCGCCAGAGCCGTTCCTAATCTCGTGTGCAGGTCTCGTGAACGTCTTTCGTTCGGGATCGATAGGAATAGCCTCAATATCGACGACCGGTTCAGGTGGGCCCCAGTACTTGACCTTGAGTGTCCTGCTGCCTCTTTCCAGCCTCGCATCTTGCGTCGCTTTGTGGATGGCCGCAATCAAATGAGCTTGTTCGGACGGTGCCAATAACCAATGGAAATCCCTGAGCAGCAAAGAAGCAAAGAACACAGCCGACGTTTCATCGCCTAGCATCTCGCAAATGCCTATCGTGTCGCGCAACAGAGCCATCTGCTGCTCGGCCCAGCCGAACGGCGCCTCGTCTTGTAATAACGAAACGCCAGAGATGCTTTCCGCGCGGCTCGATCCAAGTCCTTCCAAGCTCGCTTGAGCACCCCAAGAAGCCCTGACGCCAGCTGCATGTCGCAAGTATTCCCTCTTTGCTGCTCCTTCCGGTCCTTCTGCCTCCTCCTCCTCCTCTGATCCTCCATCGTCCTCCCTCAAATCTGAGACTAGCTCGTCGAATCTCAAATATCTGGACAGAAAGTGTTCCCTAGAGATGTGTTTGGTGGTTGGTACGTCGGTGCTGATGCCGTGCACATCCAGTACCCCCTGAGCAAGAGCCAGCACGTTCCAAGCAGCTCCCTTCTCCGGCTGGATTGCATAAGCTTCGTCGCACACCTTGCGGGCAATCTCTAGCGTGCGCACTACGTCGTCCGAATAGGAACTGACAAAGGGTCTATCTGCAAAGGACCTATCTTGCTGTGCTGCAGATCTGTCCGTGATGGTTCTGGCAAACATGCCGAGCAGGACCACCTGCATCTGTCTGAGCAAGTACGTCTCTCTCCTAGCGAACCCAATGCATCCAAACACGCTAGCCGACGAGCTCAAAATGAAGATCTGATCGGCAGGTTTGAGCGCCGCAAAGCTGTGCGTCAAAGCTTGCGAAGCTGGCGCTGCAATCTCGTACCTTTGAATGTTGCAAGCCGTCGAGTGTTGAATGTAGGTCGCGGTGGTTGGACGCGTAGTCTCTGCCAGTACGGGCGGTATTCCTCCATAAATCATTTGGTCGAACGCTTCGCCATTATATCCACCGCTGGCCCAAATTGCCAGCAAGAAGCGAGAATACGCCAAGCATGCGCTGGCGTGGATCAGCGGATGCGTATAGTCTCGCGGCGAATCAGCCGTCACGAATTTGGCAGGCTCCAAGAGGTAAGAAAGAGGAGCTAGACACTTGGAGTAGATCTGGATGGCTAGAGCATACGCTTCGGCGATATCGGCCCACGGCGTACCCGCAAACGGTTTCTCGTTTGTTCCATCCCTTTCCTTTTCCGATCCCTTCTTGTCCTTTTCTTTGACTGTGCTGGTTGAGCTACCTCCCGGTAGCGAAGAGGCCGGAGCCTTTGATGCAACGAAGAGCAAGGGTCAACACGCGTAAGCACAAGCCGGCAACGACAAGGTTGCGTGAGGTCTATTCGAACCACACCCACCTTTTCTTCCACGCTTCCGCCCATCCGTCTAACAAGCACTCTGGCAACCGCCCAACCTTCCAGAGCTCCAGCGTACCAGACCGCATCCGCCCCTCCTGCCAAAGCTCTCTCTCTTCCGATAGCTCCCAAAGCCGTATCATACCCGCTCAAAGCGCTCCACAAATCTCCACAAAGCAGAGCAGCATCGGCCTTGACTTTGGAAAATCGTCCCAAGCCGTGCGGACCCGTCAGTCCCACGCTTTGTCTCTTGATCGACTTGCGAACTTTGTTCGAGATGGCTGACGAAGAGGCGGATGTGGATGAGGCGGAGGATAGAGCAGCAGTGGCGAGTGCGCCCCCTGCGACGCTGGAGGATCCGGGACTTGAAGATTGCGACGCTGCCGAAGAGTCGACTGTGCCAGTAGATTTGGATGAGGAGCTAAAAGAGCTGAAGAAGGCCGATGCGCGCGAAGTGGCGCTGGTTGGCGAGGTCAGAGGGCCCGGGGAAGTGGGCGCATGCTGATGGGGCAAGGGTATGCTCAATGGACTGGAGACGGTTCCCATATCGCCCGTAGGTGACACGGGACCGCGATGCATTATCTCTTGACCAGCAGACGCCTTTCCCTCGCCCCTGTAGCCCGAGTCTCCTGATCTCGAGCCGGACGAAGATCCTAGAGCGTTGACCAGCGTCTCTCGAGGTGTTTCGAGCGGCGTGCCTTGCAAAGCATCCACCGCCAATTGCAAGTTGTCCACCACCTGAGCTATAAACTCCGGCAAGAGGGTGCGCAGATAAAATTTCACATCCTTCAAATCGGCCCTCACTGCTGGAAAGACGACTAAATCCTGCACGTCTCTTCCCGTAAAACCTCCAGATGAAGCGCGCTTAGATCGTGAAGGGCTAGAAGTAGAAGGGCTAGATGTCTTTGCGCTGTTTCCCGAGAGATCATACCCTCGCACACTTCCAGATCCAGCTTCGTCCTCATCCTCTTCCTCCTCAGTCTGATCGTTGACCGCAGCCATGAGGGAGCTCAGATCCATCGTTTGAGGCCTGACAGCGCCAATATCGAATGCCCACACGCGATGACTCAAAGCGTAGGGATGGTCCCTCTTCAATCTCGTCGGAGCTCTTTCCAACGCATGTCGATGTCTCCCATCCGAAGTTGATGTTCCCAATCCCAATACGCCCAGGACTTGCCGATGCACGCTAAAAGGAGATAGGAAATCATGCGATGAGTCATACCAGGTGATGAAGGAAATGTGAACCTCGCCCTTTTTGCCCAAGGGCGTGTTGCTGCCTGTGCATCGATTTGAAAGAAGCGCCGCATCACACAGCGTGCGACGTGTCAGCTCTACCTCTGAAAGGATAGCATACGTGCGATCCTTCTCGACTCACCCACTCTTCTAGCCCCATTCTTGCTCGGAGGCAAATCGCTCAACCTGACATTCTCAAAGTATTTGACTGCCTTGCTCCATCTTTCAAATTCCTCTTTGGGCACATGCGGATGAGCAGGTACGAGGAGGATGTTGATCATCGCAGGGGAGCAGAAAGACTTTTCGCCCACAGCTTGGGAAGAGTCTGATTCGTCGAGATTTGCACCGAAGCCGCTCATCGAGGTGGATGTGGTGGGCGTGGATACGTGCGAGGAGGAGATGGAGGTCTGAGAAGCTTGAGAAGAGAGAGAATGCGATGCACCATGCCCGTTTCCATGTCCATGTTCATGCCCCTGACCTGGGCCATGTGTTGATTGAGCCCGTCTCATATTGGCTGTGGATGAAGCGCTCGACGAATTAGGTGAACAAGGAAGAATGGTCGGTCGATCGGTCGTGCAGCGCGGTGCGAGCGAAGGATGGGCGGCGTCCAAGTGCGCGGGTGTTAGACCTGTTGCATCTTACTCTCGCGCGCGGAGAAGAGACGCTATCTTCGCCGGTCTACCTCGCGCTGTGAGACTCTTGGCGTTCCGGGTGTCGTTGATATGGCGGGCAGCCGCGCTGTGCCTGCGAACCGTGAATGAAAGGATTGGTAGATGGTGATGAGGTACAAGCCAAGTAGCCCTTGAGTGGAGTCTTGCATCACGAATCACTCTGAGTAGCTCTGCTCGGCTTTCACAGCCAGCATTGCCCGCGTGTATGCACGACGTTGCTGCTGGATGTGAGTTTTGAGACTCGGTGCTGCATGCTTGTATATATAGCGGCGACTCACGTGATTCTCTACGGGCTGGGATGCGCACTCCTTTTTGTCGTACGAGAAGCCTGCCCGGATGAGCGAGGTGGAGCACATATATGCGCAACGCAACAGAAGATCGAAAGCGAAGCGACAAATCACGAATGCAAATCACAATGCATCTCATGGCTGTAGGTAACTCTGATTCACTCACGGCTCACGACTTTCAGATTCAATTCACTGATTGGGTGCCTTGTTCCAGCAGGCAAGGGAAAGCTCATCACACGAGATGCGCTCTTGACTCGATCGTTGAAGCATCGCATATCTAGTTCGCGAGGTGTGCGACTCAATCACCATTCGTTTCTGCTCTTCTTCAGCACGACTAGCTGTCCCCATCCTGAGGCTGGCAAAGTCACCGCTTGCCCATCTCTTGTTGGGCGTTTGCTTCTCCCCTCCTTTGCCTTTTGGTCTTCACTCCATCTTCAACAAGGGGAACTCACGAGACTGTGATAGTCGTGGATCCACCGCATTCGGCTCCACGCATCTCAAGAGGGCCGGTTCCTGATCAAAAGATTCTCATCCAAAGCAACAAGCGGTGTTGCATCCTGTCACCATTCCCAGCCGCTGCCTCAGAACCTCGGTCACAATGTCACGTCCATCCAGCACCTCTGCCTCCTCGTCCGAAACAACGTTGTTCGCCTCTCTTCTCTCATCTCCAAAGACTACACTGGCCATAGTAGCTCTCGGCTCGTCTTTGTTGACTGCTGGAGCCATGTGGAGCGTGCAGAGCTCTCATAGATCATCCAGACGACGAGAGTTGGAGAGGAGAGCCAAGAGGGGCGTCGCGGGCAGAATCGCATCCCTAGGCGGAGATGGGCCTAGTGGGGAAGCATCTACTTCTACAGTCGGTCGTGCGCATACATTAAGCGAGAAGGATCCGAAGAAAGGGCAGAGAGATGCGATTGAGAAAGGAGGTGCACACTCGCATTTCAGAGGACACGTCCAGCATTGGAGGGGCGCGGAGGAGCAGCAGGAAGGAGAAGGAGATGGAGATGTGTCGGTGGATGGTGGAACGCCTCGATATCTTATGCAGAGCCAGCACCTCCCTTCCTCCTCGTCTGGTCATCACTCTCACCATCTCTCTGCTTCGATCTCATCTCAACTCCACCCGCTCCACTTCTCCGCCTCCGCCTCTTCGCTCTCCCACCTCAAAGGCTCTTCGCAGCGTCGACAAGCAGGAACTTCAAGCAACAAAGCTGCAAAGTCGTACGACGAGTCGTTGATCAAGGAGCAACTTGCTCGACACTATTCATTCCTGGGCGATCAAGGCATGCGAGCTCTGAGGGAAGCGTTTGTAGTGGTGGTAGGTATGGGTGGGGTGGGATCCATGTGCGCGCTCTCCCTGGTACGTTCAGGCGTAGGAAACATTCGGATCATAGATTTCGACCAAGTCAGCCTTTCCAGTCTGAATAGGCACGCAGTAGCTCAACTTTGCGACGTGGGCATGTCCAAAGTGTCCGTTTGTGCCAATCATTTTGCCAAGATAGCTCCTTGGGTACACGTAGAAGCCATCAATCAACTCTTTTGCGCAAAAGATGCGGAGGATTTACTGGGAGCTGCGTCTGTGCAATGGGACGCAAAGAGGCCCACATACGTGGTGGATTGCATTGATAATTTGGATACGAAAGTGGACCTCATCGCGTACTGCTACAGAAACGGCATCAGGTGTTTCAGCTCCATGGGAGCGGGTGCTAAAGCAGATCCCAGCAGGATCCAGATTGCGGATCTGAACGACACAAAGGAAGATCCGCTTTCTAGGCACGTGAGGAGACGGTTGAGAGCGATGGGAATTCCCAAATTGCCAGAGAAGCCGACGACGGGGAAGAGGAAGGAGCAGGTGGGCAAGAGTGAAGAGCAGTCGGCAGAGGTGGCGAAAGGCAAGCAAAGCGCGGGTCGAAAAGAGGACGAGAAGAAGGCGGGCAGTGCTGCTGCTAAGAGTGATAAGAAGGCCAATGATCTGGTCGAGAGTAGTTCAGCTTCCTTCAGCGCTCAAATCGACGCAGCTGCCCGCTCCCTCTCCGGCACGCTCTCTCCGCGCAAGAAACCGTTTAACGACAAGGAGAACAAGTCTCCTCCTAGCGCTTATCCACTCCCGAGCCCTTTTGCGCTTTCTTCAGGCGAGCGAGGGGCAGACCAAGGAAGGGTGCAAGAGAGACATATGAGAAGAGCTTCGAGCGCCTCGAGCGTTGGATCGGCCAATGTGGGTTATTGGACACCTGTGGGAACGCCTGGAACGCCTGGGGCTGTCCGTGTCGAGCTGGACGAAGAGGGTCTGGAATCTCTGGACGAGGCGGAAGGGAAGGGGGTGCTAGAGGAGGAGGATGGAGACACGACTCTTCGCGGTTCTGACGATGAGATGGATGACCAGCATCAGAAGGAGCAAGAGGAAGCAGAGGGCAAAGTGAATAAGCTTCGACCCTCTCCTTCACCGCCACCTTTTTTGACACCAGACGCTGCTGGTGCTGGTGAAAGGAGAAGATCGTCGTTGAAGGAATTGAATGCCAGTCCCCTCTTGTCACCTGCAAACCAAGCGTCCAGCGACAGATTTGCAACGCGCAATCCGCTCTCCCGCACCGCTTCTGCTTCGACTAGGACCCATCCCGAGGCATCCAGCTTTGATAGCATCTCTCGCGCTGTACCCGCATCTTCATCACAGCAAATATCCGACTCTCTTTCCTCCTCCACTTCCAACTCGAATTCGAAAGCGCACCAATATGAAAAGGACGCGCCGATAGGTATCCCGGTCGTCTTTTCGACGGAGACCAAATCGGACGTCGGGTTGCTACCCTTGGATCAGAAAGAGTTTGAGAGGGGTAATGTGGAGGAGTTGGCTGTGCTCAATGACTTTAGAGTCAGGATTTTGCCCGTCCTTGGTGAGTCAGACTGTACCATGGTCAGGATTTCCTGGCAAGAGGGTAAGCCTGCAGCATTGTCCAGCTGCGAATTTAATTTGATGATCCACCTCTTTTCCCTCTCCACGATTCTCGTCGCGTTGCTTGTAGGACCTATACCTAGCATGTTTGGATTGGCTGCTGCTACGTACGTCATTTGCGAAATTGCTGGGAGACCTCAAGAACCTTTTGCGAGCAAGCCTTCTCGGAAAATGTTTGAGCGTGTAAGTTTTTTTTCTTTTGCTGCTCAGTCGATCGACTGCACACGATCGAGTCGCCCTACAAGTCTTTCCCCGTTTTCTCTTGCTTACCAACGAAGAACCTTGATATGATCTCGCGTTTGTCCTTCTTGGCTTTAGATGTCGTTCGACTTGGAACATTCGGAGCGCAAATATCCTTTGCAAAATTCTTTCGCGCAACAGCAAAGGCAGCAGCGCTCAGCAGGACACTCTGACAAACCTGCGACGTTTGAAGGAGGAGGAAGAGAAGGAAAAGCAGAAGGTCAAGGTCCGCGTAGATCTTGGTTCAGCATCGAAGATGTTCAGTACCTCTACGAAGAAGTCTTTCATCAGAGATCCGTGGTCGCTCCATTCGAGACGCCCAGCAAACCTTTTTTATTGCGATGGGATAGCACCATTCCGCTCGCTTTCAACAATGTCGCCGTCTTTTCTAGGGATCAGGCAAAGAGGCATATGCAAGAGGTGCTTGGTAAAGGCACTTCGCCTTGGGAAGTGTGGGGAGATGAGGCGGGAGAAATGTTCAAGAGGCGTATGGCAGAGGTCAGTCTCCTCCTCGACTTGCGCGAGCGCGAGAAGTCAGACTTGCGATTGGATGTTCGAGGCTCACATCGTGTCCGCACCTTGCTTCTCGCTGCGCGCGCAGGAACAACGAATGAACTTGTTCAGGTGACCTTCGCAGGCGCCACGCTGTCCTGATCGCACGTAAGTAGTTGTACAGCTGGTCATTTTTCGAATGGAAGCAAGTGTCAGGGAATCTCATTGCCAATGTCCACACAATCATCGAGCATGTGCATGGCCATTGCTACGAGTTTCTATGCCTGTGCGCGCATTCTTGTACGACGTCAAGAAGCCCTCCTCCGCCAGCACTGCCGGCTCCAGTCGTCTTGCGCAAAGACATCGCAGCATCGCAATCTGCAGCAACGTCCGAATGGTGCGCTTGGACTTGGGATTGCGTCGAGTGCTCGGCATGACGCTTTGCGTTCGCGTGCGCAAAAGGCGCAGACGTCGGCTGAACACTGGTCTGATGGGGCGAGGAGGGCGGAGAGTCATCGTGCAACAAGTCGTGCAGATCTTTCCACGTGTACCTGTCTAGCTGACCATCCATCGTAAAGTCGAAGGGATCGTGATGCGCTGCTGCGGCTGCTGATGTGTGAGCAGAAGGAGCAGCAGTGGCAGACGAGGCGTTGGTCTGCGGAGAACTGGGCCGGGAGGTAGAGCTTTTGTGGGACGAGCCGTGCACATCTCTCCACGCGTACTTGTCTGACCGATTCTTGACCAGCGTCAAGTCGGTCGGATCGTGGATCCTTGCGTGCTGGATTTGCGCACGTGCTACGTTGCCGCCTTCGCTGGATGATGAAAGCGGCGATGCCCCAGGCGAGGGCCGACTGCGCATTGGCTGTACGGGTCTTGTAGATGCCTTTCTCAGCGTCTCTACTGACACTTCTGCAGGTCTTTTTGCGCTCGGAAAAGCGCCGCCTTGCAAAGGCGCGGTGACCTCGCGCGCTGTGGGGGACTCCTGCGCAATGGTCTGCTTCGAGACGCGTTCTCTGCTCGATGAGGCATCCTTCTTCGATGCGCCGCGCGCTGCATTGTCAATCTCCGTCCGAGGAATCTCCCTGGCAGCACCGATGCTCCTTTCGAAGCCCAAGCCACCAGGCGGTTGAAAGCGTCTTCTCTTACCTCCAAAACCTCCGAGCGGCATTGCTGGTCGAAGGGGTCGAATTTGAGCCATTGGTGGGATTCTTGGCATTTGGCCACTCATCATGGCTTCCTTTGCATGCAGTGCGGAGGGGGAGGGGGGGGGGTAAAGTCTAATTTTTGTCAAAGGCGTCACTCGCACTATGCACCAGTGCTGCAACTCACACTTGTCCAGGGGCCCCTGACTGGACGAGGTTTGCTGATCTCCTTGCCTACATGTTCTGGCTTGATGAAACCATCTTCATCCAGATGGTTGGTCTGGACCAGCCTTCCGTAGCCGGCCTTGCGCGGTCGAGTGGGAGGTGCAATCTCTTTGATCCTGAATACTTGGCGCACTTCATTGATGTACACGGGATGGAACTTGTCAGAGAGATGCACAACGTGCTCGTTTGGTTTGACCTCTGGCTGATGCGCAGCAGTTGGGCAATTGTCTAGCGTCCGTGTGCCTTGTGCCGTGTATGCTGTTACCAAGCAAGCGGGGCGTTCCGGATGTTTCGGATCTGCAGAAGGCGAGAAGTTGTGCTGCACAATGACCGAGTCGGGCTCTTGTCCACCGTGAAATTCCTCAAAGTGCTTCTTGATCGAATGTGCCAACGCCCATTGAGGCTCTGGCTTGCTTATAGTGTGATAGTCGATGATGACCCTTTTCTGTAGCCGCGCGGTCGATCCGTGTAGCTCTCGCCGAAATTGCTTCTTCATCACAGACTTTACCTGCACAGATCGCTTGGTGATCAGGTAGTGCATTGGCGTCAGCCTGAGCTCATGCCGAGCATCGTCGCGAGTGCGACGCCAAGTCAACGTACCCGATGCATGCGATGATTTTCGCTCGCAAGTCCATGGTGGTCTGGGGGCAAAAGCGATGCTCGGGGCGGGCTCCGAAGTAGGTGAGCAAGCTCGTCAGGCTCGAAATGGTTGTCGAGCGGCGAAAAGTGATGATACGCAGGACTAGCTGGATCAGATTCGTGGTGCGCAGTCTCCGGCACGATTTGGTTGTGGCTCGTAGCTGCATTGATTCCAGCAGATGCATGACTCGACGAGACGGGATCCGTGTGCGCAGCGTGACCTTGACTCTTCGGACTTGTCGATGGGCTGTGCAGCCATGCCGCTAGGTCCGCGTCGTAGTCGCCAACAATATGAGGGAAGTGAAAATCGTCTGCTGGAGGCGGAGATGCAGCTGCGTGGGCGTTGTTGGCATCAGAATGAGTCGGCGAACCTGTGTGCCAGGTGATGACTGGTCTGTAGGACGATTGAGGAGAAGGCGAGCTGAGCCCTGGGTTGCTTTCATGATTTGGTGAGGCCGCAACATCAGAGGAATGTGAGACACGTTCCAGGGTTGCAGGTGGTCCGTGGCCTTGAGCAGTCATACTTGCTCGTTCTACTTCGCCCGCACTTGTGCGTCCGCGATGGTTCGATAACGTCCAGAGTCTAATATCGTGCGCAGCAGGCACTGGCCTTAGGGAACCTGAGCCCACATGAGCAAGCGCAGCCCCCTCCGTTGGAGTCTGAACAGTGCGGGTCTTGCGCTGAGGGGCAAAGTTGTCTGCGCCGCCGAGCTTGGGCCGCTTTTGTGTCCCTGAGGATTCTGCGGTGAAGCTGCCCCTTTTGCCCCGAGGTACCTTTGGCTGCGAGAGATGCATGTTGGTACTCTTCTCGCCCGTCGAAGCTGAGCCCTTTTGAACTGCCGAAGATGCAGCGACGACTTCTGATGCTTGTGAAGATTTGGCGATGAACCTGCCTCCTTCCCCCCGAGGTCTTTCTGGATGCAAGAGCTCAAGTCTAGGTGTCGTCTCGTCAGTGGGAGCTGAAGTCTCACCGGTCATACCCGGCTGTTGGGAAGCTGATTTGCCCGGCCCCTCTGCCGACGCAAGTTTTCCCTCCAGCAGCGCGTTGACTCGTAAGAGTTGTCTATGAAGCACCGGATCTCTAGGCGTCTCGAGTTGAGATGTTCGTTTGTTCGGATCAAATCTTTTGCGAAACGCCTCCTTGTACCCCAATTGCCTCTCCTCTGCTCGAAGGGGGTTTCCCTTGTGTTTTCTCACATCCGGCGCGGACTTCATGCGTTTCAGGGCAAGTCCTGTTAGCTCTTTCTTTCTATCGATGGCCGCCTCAACACTGGTGGGCAGTGCTTCCTCGTCCAGATGCCTCGAGTCAGCGATTCTGGGAAAGGCTGTCACTTGCGCAGAGGTGCGCGCCTCGCTGTGGCGATCGACTCCATGAAAGACGTCTTCGGAATATACTCTGGATTTGCTGAAGAAGCGATGCCCCTTCGCCATAGGTATGCGATGGATCAACCTGTTCTGCTTATCGCGAAAGACGTATCGACGGTCTCCCTCGACGATCAACTTGGCTCTGAAATGAGTCTTGGGTTGGAGCCTGTTGCCCCCCTTGAAACCAGCCATCGCTTTGACTTGTGTCACGCCGGGATAGTCCTCGAGGTACTCCATCGCGCTTTTGGCCATGGCGTGGCGTGTCGTAGGGTTCGTGACGTCCGAGGGAAGGTGTATTTCAACACGTTTAATAAGCTGGGCCGACCGCCAATTGCCTTGCAATGCGACTTTTCCATGAGGGGCGCTCAAGCTCTTGAGCGCACTCAGAAAGCAGAGGGGCGAGCATGTGTCGTTCGTGCAGGAGGCATGCCGGCGCAATAGAATAACGGCAGCCAGAAGACTGGCCGCGCACAACATCAACTTCAATCCACGGCTCCAGGTGCTGCAGTGTCCGCTTTGAAAGCTACCTTGCTTGATCACCATGGTAAAGGTAGAAGCCATGTCGGATCTGGACTTTTCGCATACGCTCGTAAAGCCTATGTGCAATGCTAAAGGAGGTCAGCCGATGACGGCCTGTCGAGAAACATCCACGTACCGATTGCGCCTGCGCAAGACACGTGTGCCAGTCGCTAATGATGCAAAGACCGGTCAGCCCGAGCCAGCAAGCAACCATAAGCGTGTAGAGGGGAAAGAAAAAAGTGTCAGGAATTTGAAGAAAGAAGAGAGCAAGTCAGTAGATATGCGCGAAGTCATTCTTTTCGACATGGGATCCGATCATGTTTTGCCACCCTGTTCCTATGCCTTGGGCAAATGGGCGCACATTGCCACGATCTGTCTGGCCGACGCGCCCCTGGTGTAGCCGAAATCTGTTTGAAACGTGTATTTCCGGCCCCCTCCACCGCAAAAGCTGCTTCTGACCTACGGATCTGCACGCGCTGCCATCGGCCGAGCTGGATGGAATCCGCGAGGTCGCATCTTGATTCGCCACCAACGCCCACTTTGCCGCACTCGAACGGCTGAATCTGTCTGCGTGTTTCATTAGTCTACGTGCCCAGATCTGCCCGTGCGCCGCCAGTCGGGCGCTCCTTTCGGGGGGGGGGGAGGGGGGGGGCCGACAGTCTATGCAATGGCAAAGGGCAGTCTTGTTGGTCGCAGGGCGCTCTTTTGGCTCATCGTCCGGGTGGCAACTTGCACGTGCAAGGAGGGTCGCGAAGGTGATGTGCAAGTGCTACGAGCGACAGCATGTATCTCAGGCTCACTCCCTCGACCACACGCCCTTTGGATGCAGCCTCTGCGATGGCCAAGTCAGGGACACAGATGTGTCAGTCGCGATGGAGCGGGTGCTGGCGCGTGGCAAAGAAATCAAGCAGCACTGAGTTTCTGAATTGCACAACACACCTCTGCAGAGATTTCGGCGGCCACAAGGGCTTCACAGACGGCACCACCAGCCCAGCGCTCCAACACTTCAACTTCCGCGGGCGTGACAAATGCAGCTGTTGTACGATTGGCAAACCTGAAGAGCAAGGGGCTGTCACATCAGTTGCTCTTCTGGTAAACCTGCAACGCATCTCTTGCCACTTACACGATCTGCGCCGCAGCGACCCTCATCTCGCCGTCGGTTGCTGTGTGCACTGCGCGGTTGTGCGATCGGGCCAGGTGAGACAAGAGATAGGTTTCCATCTCGAATGTAGAGACGCCGTGTGCCTGGATGCGTTCTATCAATGCGCTATTGCGATCTTCGAAGAACGGTGTGGTCCGGCCTTGCGAGGAGTAGAAGCTGGCACGCACAGCACATCACATCAGCACCTCGCATAGACGTAGGCGGATGTGGGCCCGTGACAAGCACCCACCTGTCTGTGCTAGCATTGACGAGATTATCCACGACGGATGGCTGGCGGCCGCCAAACACAGACTCTTGTGCTGGAGGCAAGCGTGCCTTCAAGGCGTCGACAAGCGCTCTGTGGAGGACAGCATCCGCCGGGAGCTGGACGTGGAGTTGAAGGAATGATCCGCGCATTGAGTGCTCGTGCCAAGAGCTACGGTCTGTCGGCATTGCGGACTTACGGGCTTTGTGATATGGTAACATCGCGCAGCATCAGCGGCTGGATTTGCAGCGTCTTCCAAGAAAGCATCGTAATTTTGCAAGACGCCGACGCTCTGCAGTGGAACGACGACGCTGCCGATTGGCGCATCCTGAGAAAGCGAGCCGCACTAGGATGTCCACGTTTCGTGGTCAGGGCTGAGAGTTCGAATCGTTGGGGCTTGCTTGGGGACCCACCGATCCCAGACGGACCACAAACATGTCGCCTTGCAGGACTGCCCGCACTTCGCGAATGAAGAAGTCAACCAGCTTGCGCAGGTAGAAAGATTGGGGTCAGACGAGCCTCTTTGGTAACACGCTCCCATCTCGACGTACGCTGAATCCCATACCAATGGAGACCACCGTAATCGGCACACCTTTGAACAGACCTGTAATTGTGAGCTGAGGGCGTGAAGACCTCAGCAAAAGTTGACAGGCTTGCTGGTCGGTCAGTAGTAGAACACTCACGAACTTTCGATGCGATTCACTCTCGAACAAAGGCGGACCGTCGAAATTGGTCGCAATGCGTCTAGCTCGTGTATGATCTCCCACTGTGATCTTGACTCGACCAACAACATCGTTAGCCCGGCGAACCCAAACACACCATACACACTGCCGTACAAACTGACTATTCGATTTGCTACCTCTCCCGGCTTGGTGCCGACCTGCACGAGCAGAGAAGTCAAGCGACAGAGAGGTCAGAGATGCGCAGCGATGGGTACTTGCAAGGTCCAAGCATCCGACATCCGACCAACTCACATGGTACGTTCTGCCTTGTGCATCGCGCGGAAAGTTGGCATCCAGTAGGGTCTCCTTCATGGCGCCAGGGCCTACCCAGGTGAGCCAGCAGGCGTATGTATGCGCTCTTTCGTGTGATCACCAATTGGCCGGTCAAGACTCGAGAAGTGCAGCTGGCGAGCCGTGCGCGCTATCGACCGCGACCGCAACCGCGACTGCGACCACGAACTCGATAGTTGTCGTTTGCTTTGCGATCTCGCGTGACTGTGAAGATCGGAGACTGAACGCAGAGCGGACCAGAAGAGATTGAGAAAGGATTCGTGATTCGGGATGGAGTCGTGAGTGTGGTCGTCAATTAAAGCGCCAAGATCCCACATGCACGCACAGCACAACGCAGCAGCTCTCTGCGCCCGATCCCACGCACAGACCACGGCCGCCTTGCAGGACCCTGATGCTGCGCTGCAGATGCTGCACGTATACCTGTGCGCGAGGGACCGCGCTCTTTCATATATATGTCCATTCGTGACGCCACGGTGACTTGACGGCTGCTTGACCTGTGAGACAAGAGTCGTGAGTCGTGAGTGTTGCGCAAGAATAAGAGCTACAATCACGTGAATCTGAATCTGAATCGTGAATAGCCATATATACCTCTCCCAACGATCGAGCGCCGCGACCCGAGTCCCTCTCCCACCTGATCCAAGGCTAAGGCTAGCTGCAATCGCAAGATCGAATCGTATGAAGCTGTGAGCACTCCGGCTCACCAACGCCATCCGATCCTCGGATGATGCGCCCTGCAAGCCTCCTACCACTGAACCCCCCCATACGGCTCACACGCTTGTCGCGCACATCCAACCTGAAGCTATAGGCATCGGACCCATCCTCAACCGCTGCAAGCTCGCCGCTGCTTTCATCGGCCACGAAAAGGTGTGATGGGAGCGCGAGAAAGTCTTTGCAGCGCCATTGTTCATCCGTCATCTTGATCCGCATGCACGCACGCACCAGCCCATCGGGGATCAAAAGCACAAAGTTCCCTGGCTCAGCATGCCACAAATCTCCCAGAATGGTCAAGCTGCTCAGATGTCTGCACCTACCAAGATGCGAGAATCGGGCTCGCTAGTGGAACCTAGCCATCTCAGCACGTCGCCCAGGCGTCTAAAGACGTGGAAGGATCTGTCTGATAGAAGACCATTACCTCTACGATTCCTCCTCTTGCCATCCAATCGACCTGGAGGCAAGCTCTGTCCCTCACTCTGCGTCCACATAAATGGTCATGTCATCGTACGGTGAGTACTTCATTGGAGAAGCTATCGCGCGGCGGAGATGGTCCCGACTTGAGCCAGACGAAATGGAGTTGGTAGATCTACGAGGATCAGAAGCTCGGCGTGAATGCTAGAGGACTGCTCCACATGTCTTGGCATTCTGTACGCTGACTGCTCACTCTCTTCATTCTTCTGCCATCTACCGCTCAGCATCATGGATCCTGAGCACTCTGAGCCATTCGTATCCCTCGCCGCGATACTTCATAGTGCAGGCCTCACAGTCGCAGAAGGCCTGCTTCGATTTGGATTGCGCCGCGATCGCATGGATTTCGACATGACGCTGGCTGGACTAGAGCCGTGGGACGAAATCTGGGTGAGCAACGTGGTCTCAAGATCTCCGACAAGCAGCTAAGCTCGGTCCTGCGTGACTCGATGGCCTACAGGTGCCACTTGCTACTGCTCGTCGTGTAGCAGAGAGCCTCAACATTCTCGAACCTTTGGCATCCCTTCTCAGCTGGTCTACAAGGCATGTCTGGTCCTTGGATGAAGGCAGCAGCGGTCTAGTGCACAAGTGAGCTCTCAAGTTAGCTACGTGACAGGCAAGCTCTATGCTCATTCAGAGCCTTGCGACGCAGCTGGAAAGTTCCATCCAGCGTGCTGGATCCAGGCACCTATTCTACCGCTTCACTCACCGCCAGCGAATTTGCCGTGATAGAGCCTTTAGCAGCAGGTCAACTGATCAGGACGCTCGTTTCGCCCGAGCAAAGGCGATCGGCTATGCTCAATCACAACCCTCCTCGTTCGGCGGAGCCAGTCACTCTTCGTCAAGCTGATGCGCGAGCTGTCAGTCAGCAACTCGTGCGCTGGAGTGTACAGCGACTCGAGACCTGGCTGAGCGCACAAGAGGAAGACGGGCAATCAGATGTGGCGCCGGAAATGAGCGGGGATACCTTGGATGCAGAAGAGATGGCACAGAAGTGGTGAGTGTGTGCCGGGGGCACATGCACCAACCCTAGCGACTTGTTCCCTGGACATGTCCCTGATACGCTAAATGCCACCATTCGTCAGCGTCGCCGTCAGGTTGCTGGCCTCGCTCGTGCAGGGAACCTCTTTGCGGGGAAAAGAGCCTTTATCGGTCTGTGGTAGTCAGATTACCCTGTTGCCGGAAGAGCTGCTGGGCCACAATGGCTCCGCGCTAGAGAGAAAAGGCAAAGCTACAAGAACGAAAATTCTAGACGCAAAATCCCGTCGTGTATGGATAGCCAAGCTGGACTTGGCCCTGGCTTGTTTAGTGGATGAGCTCTCTTTGCAGAGGGGCAGACATGAACCAAACCTCGTCTCCGAGCCCGACTACGACGAAGCTCCAGGGCAATCAGCTACCCCTGCAAATATGAACGGAGCAGCATCGTCTCAGTTGAACCGCATCGAGGCAGCTCTGACTCGATTGGAGAGCCGTGGAATGTATTGCGGGACAGAGAAGCAAGACTATGATTCGCCCGACGCCACTCACGATTCTTCCAGTCACAGAGCTGCACGATTCGCCCCGCTTGCTCCTGTCGGCGGCATCATAAACAGTGCGCTAGGTCTGCGACTTGGCGCTACCTCGCGCCAAAGCGACAGGTCTACATTTGTGGGACATAGCAAAGACGGCCCTGCGTCTATGCCAACGATGAGTAGCGACGGAATATCGGCTACGAGTCGGACTGTTATAGCGCCAGGGATTGTCTCGAATGAGAGTATTGCTGTGCTCCTTGTGGTCCTCATTTGCGCCGTCCTCTGGCCAAGGGAGTGATCCATCAACTCGACACCTGTCGCGCGGACTCTGCAAAAGGGAGGAAGAAGGTCGCGTCGATGATCGTACTCCGATGCGAGGACGACGCGTGCCGCAGACTAAAGGTCTGTCTGGCACGTCTCTTCTGGAAAGGCATCATCAGCTTTGAGCCTACTCACTGCAACCGCGGCAGCCATCGTCCTCAATTCCCGATCAGAATAGGCTGCCAGTCGGTGTATTCGCGTTCAATATCCTCATCATCACTCTTCCCCAAATCACTTCAGCGCTGCAAGAGCGCCCTTCGCACAACTCGCATAGCCCAGTCGCAGACCTTGTAAAATACCTCATACTCGAACCCTTTCAAGAGCTGCGAAGACTTAGCCAAACGTCTGAGCTGAGGACTCGGGCTGATTCCGCCTACGTGCCATGCATGTCGTCTCTGTAACTTGACCTTGAAGCACCGAGAAGACTCGTTGATGTGGGCCACTGACCAAGGACCCTCCTTGCCACTCGTCCGGAATTGGCCTGATACGATTGAAAAGTGGTGATTGGTATCGCCATCGCAACAGGTATATTCGCATACCCCCAATACACACCTCTTCACCAAAGAGGGTACTCTCGGGCCCACTACCGTCTTTCTTATCTTATTCAAGCCCGAGAAGATTTCTCGAAAATGTTACAAAAGTCCTCTGATCAATCTAGTCGTCAGCTTGACTCCCCAATGAACCTTTCTCTCTCTTCTCTCAAAGAGCTCCTGAGAAACTTGATCCGTAGCGTACAGCTCCAGACTCTTCAGCTCGTTCGATAAGCTGCTCGACAAGGAGCTGCTCTTTCTCTCCCTCTCGATCTCTTGCGGCTCCGCATCTTCCAGCGCCAAAGATTTCGTAGGGCGAGCGAGCGGCCCAGCATCCAAATGACACGCTTGAAGATCTTCGACGAGCAAGGTGCATTCCAAATCTCGTGCGTCGCTTCGATTGCCAAAATTGGATGATCCGATCAGAGTGACGAAGGGATCGGTATTTGCATCGCGGGATAACCAAATCCCTTTTTTGTTTTTTTTTTTTTTTGTTTCACATAGCGCGAGATCAAGCGAGGCACGAGCAGCATGTCAGCGCGCGTGCCCAGCAAAAACGAACGTCGGGACCTCAATCTCCCATCGTGCGCGCCAATTTGGATTGCCCTCGGCTCGCACCTTCCTTACTGACCTTTCGCATGATAAGTCCAACCATGTCTAGTCCATTCCTTCATCCGCACTCCCTTCTCTTCTCCCTCCATCAGCTCCCCAAGCACTCCCTCCCTCTCGGCTCTCTTCCAAAACAACCACTCCAAAAAAGTGTACGCTGGTGGTAAATGTCTGCTGATCCCTTTCGAGCCGAAGAATCCATTGGAGCGCGGAGAGGCGGCCAGGATGTCCACCTTGAAACTGCGAGATAGCCGCAGGATGGTTCGTGTCCAGCTTGGAGAGAGGCAGAAATATCCGCTCGTCAGCGTCAAGGACATGCCTCGCGCTGGCGTGGGAGCAGAAGATGAAGAGGAAGAGGGAGAAGAGATGGCCAATCGATCCATCCACTCGGGCAAAAGATGCACAAAACGAGTCTCGTCTCGAATGCCCAATGGTGCCATCTGCACCAGCGGCACGATCGCAATCTCGTCCCCTCGCTCGCCTGAAGCACGAAGCTGCTTTGAAGTCTTGTCAAACCATTCATGATTGAACTGAACAATCTCCGCCTTGGCCAAAGCGGACCAATTCTTCTCCTCCACCTTGTTCACTCCCCTCGAAACATCCGCAGGCGCATCATCTAGATAGCCCGGCCGCCCAGTCCAAATGACCTCATAAGGCGCATGCTCTGCCCGCACTTCTCTCCTCAGCCTCAACCTTTGTGCTTGATGGCCCAAAGTCTTCTCATCTGCATCTGACTCGACGTCCGAGCTTAAGCGTGGATCGGGATTTGGTCTCGCTTCTGAGCTCTCCTTCCGCCTAGGCTCCATACAGCGCAGAGAGTACGAGTACTTTTCGCTGATGCGCACCAAGGAGCGTAGGTAAAGCGAGAGACCTTGCGCATGAGCTTGATCGAAGTGAACGTATCGATCTTGTCTGTTTGTGAAGTAGTCGGCCGAGAGGTTGGCGCTGCGAGAGGGGGAAAGAGGACAGGAGGAGTGTGAGCGCGATGGAGATCCCAGCTACACGCGTGGCAGCAGGATGTAGTCTTGCAGACTCGGCGCTGCAAATCATAATCGACCACCAGCAAGAGCTTCAGACGATCTGCACGTTCCTCACACTCACCCACTGATCAGAGCCCTGCCGTCCGCGAGGTAAATCTTGACGTGCTGCAATCCCCACCCTTCAACCAGCCTCTTTCCTACCAACCTCTCCATCCACTTGCTCAGCCCCGGAGCTCTATACAATCTCACATTCACCCGCTTCGATCCAAAGTCTCGTACCAAGGGCGATAGTAAGGAAGCTGCTGATTGCGAGCGAGCGTCTGAGGACACGTAGCGACCTTCGCGAGTGGAGCGTTGATAGTCTAGTAGGAATGTGACCCGTAGACGAGGGTTGAGCGTCAAGGCAGTACGTAGGGCTTCTACCTGGTATGAAGAGCAGGCGAGTGCAAAGAGACGCCGTATATCGTCAGCGTTGAAATTCAACGAATGGTTCTACTATTCAATCTGCTCTCGCCTTGCCATCAAAGATCCTTCGAGCATAGCATACATCCCCTCAGCCAGTCTCCTTTTCAATACCACTCAATATCAAATGGTCGCCCTGCGCCGGCCTGCACTCACAATTTCACCCTCGTTGCTGCCCAGGTATAGACTCGCAAGCGTGACTTCCTCCTTGGCAGAACTGATCATCCCCAGCACCTCATTGTAGAATTGTTGAGGCGTACACAATAATCGTACATCTTCTTGTTTGCTTCGGAAGAGCGGAAGACGGGCGCTTTGCGATACGTGTCGCGCGAGCGAGTCGGAGTGTGCTTGTGCTGAGTGCGATGATGCAGCGGATGATAGGTGATGGAGGGAGGAGGGGGCGTGGGTGGAGGTGGATGCGGATGTGCATAGCTGTCGATGGCTTGGTCGAGGCCGAGGCCGAAGCCGAAGAGGGTAGGGTTGAAGCTCAGTGCACAAAGCTTGCCGCTCAGACTCAGCAGCCAGATACAGTCTGCTGCCTAGCTGATTCTGAGCTGGAGCGTAGTCAGAGCGTGTTCCAACTCCTTGCTTCCCTCCACTTTGCCCCGACCTTGCACTCCCAGCCGATACGATGCTCCTGCGTTGCGATGGCCCAGTGCGAGGACATTGCTCGCACAGCCAACAAAAAGCTCCGCGATAGCTGGGATTTCGTAGGCGAAAAAGCTGACCGCACAGGTCGGTAGTGCCAAGCATCGCGAGAGGTCGTAAAGTGCACCAATGCGTGCCCCGCTCCCCGCCCCCTGCTTCTTCGTCGGGTGCCTGCACTCGTGACTATAAGCCCCCAAACGGATGGGAGATTTCGCGGGCTTGGCTCAGTGATGCGACCTGCGTAATTATCTGCAAACCGTCATGGATAGTCAATCGTGATTTGCGATTGAAGAAGTGATCATGAAGGAGAGCCTCATATATGTTATTGCTTCGCAGACCCGCTTCGAGGTCGACTCACGACTCACGACTCACGACTCGCGACTCACGACTCGCGACTCACGACTGAGTGACTCACGACTGTTAATTCATAGCTCATAGCATGTCGTCACGTGACCTCTCCTCTGTCTCATCCACATTCACGAGTGCATGACCTGCGCATGCCTCAACCTAGCAGGCCGCCTCTTGACATCCAATTGTCTGCGTGCTGCGCTGCGCTTTCGACATCACAATCAAGTGTGCAAGCTTCTGCTCTAGAAAGTCGTCAGCTGCACTCACACCATCGACGCTTGTGCAGTGGCTCTGGACGTTGCACTGCTCCTGCTGCTATTGTCTCATCAGGCTCGTGCAACCCCCCCACGCATCCCGAATCAAGGCGCATACATTCGCCTTTCTCGAAGGCTGCTCTCAGCGCCCTTTGCCCAAGAGGATCACGTTGAGAAATCAGTGCTTGCTGGCTTTACAAGACACACAGTGATGACGAGTACAAGCCTAGATAGACCAAGGGACAGAGAGAGGGATAGGGAAAGGGACAGAGATAGCAGGAGGCAAGGAGAAGGTAGGTACTCTGAGCGAGATCATCCTCGTGATCGGGACAGGTACGATGACGATCACAAACACCGGCGGGAAGGGAGTAGACGTCATCGCTCCAGGTCCAGGTCTGGCGATCGCGATCGTGATCGCAATGGGCATCACGAGGGCACAAGCGGAGAGAGCAGGAGAAGAAAGCGGTACGAGGAAGACGCAGTTGTCGAAGAATACAGAAATTCTAGAAGAAGACACGAATCTGGTAGGAGGTCTCGATCGCCCCAACATCATGGACGCGATGAAGGCTCGTACAGCTCGCGCGTGCGATCCTCTAGGGATGACAGATCTCGAGAGGATCGAATAGACGATCACAGGAGACGAGAGAGGAGCTCGGACTCTCACGCTTCGGAAAGGAAGAGGGAGGCAGGTGGCGGACGAGATGATGCGCCCAAATCGTCTTCTAGGCGGTGGGATGTCGATTCCGCATCTCCTACCAGGAAAAATGCGTCGACAGGTGCGAGCACCATCTCGGCAGCAGCAGCCGCAGCAAGTCTTCCTCAGCGTCCCGCTTTCCCCAGCCTTCATCCTACAGCAGCTGCAAAATCCCACGCTTCACCAGGGCCGAGCGGCACCGCCAGTCCTTCCGGTTCCAGTTCACCATTCCCTGCTAGCACTACTGCCGGAATTGGAGCGTCTACATCCGCGGCTGCTGCGCCAACCACGGCACTCAGCGATGACAAGCAGAGGAAGAAGGAGCGCTTGGAAGCTTGGAGGAAAGCAAAGGAAGCCGAGAAAGCCATCGAAGAGGCGAAAGCTAGAGCTGCTGAGCTTGCTGCTAATTTTGCAACGAAAACGCCAAGTTAGTAGGATCACGTAGCTCGCTTGTGTAGGTATGACGAGGCTGACGTAGTTCAATGACCTGGTCCGCCGTCCGCCCAGCTACTCTGAAGCTGTCGGCTGGAGCCACTAGCATCAACACGAGCGGGCTCAAGGCCAGTGCGGCAGTCGACCTGGGTGCGGGCAAGCGCGGTGCTGCATCTGTCATGGACGATATGAGCGAGCAACCAGCCAAGCGTGATTTCAAAAAGTTGAACTTGCCACCCATCGACCCGCTGTTGAAGCCAGGGGCGGGCGGTAAGGTCGGCGCTGGCTCTGATCTCGAAGATGAGGGCGATGAAGAAGAAGAAGAGGCAGCGGAGCAGAGTGGAGGTGCTGCTGCCATGCAGATCGATTCCCGTCCACCTGCAGCAGAAGACGAAGAGGATGACCCGCTCGATGCATTTATGGCCGGCGTCAAGGACGAGGTCAAAGAGGTCGACGCGGCGGACCAAAAACGTTTGGGCATCTCTGGTGGCAAACAGAAACGGCGAGGTTTGGCGGAGGTGGTAGGCGACGACGACGGAATGGCGGCAGGTGTCGGCAACGAGGATCCAAGCGCAAGTGCTCAAGCTGCCGACGAGTTGGGAGAAGCGAATGCGGAAGAAATCATGGCTCTTGCTGCGGCCAAGATCAAAAAGAAGGAGATGCCGGCGGTGGATCACGCAAAGATGCAGTACGAACCCTTTCGCAAAGCATTCTATCATCCTCCTTCTGAGATCGAGGAGATGACAGAGGATGACGCGGAGAGGCTGCGAATGGAGCTGGACGCTATCAAGGTTCGAGGCAAGGATTGCCCCAAGCCTTTGACCAAGTGGAGCCATTGCGGTCTGCCCGCTAGATGCTTGGACATTATCAAGAAACTGGGTTGGAAAGGACCTACGCCTATTCAAGCTCAGGCTATACCCGCAATTATGTCCGGCAGAGACGTCATTGGAGTTGCCAAGACTGGATCAGGAAAGACGATGGCGTTTTTGCTGCCCATGTTCCGGCACATCAAAGACCAGCGACCCGTCGAGTCGCTGGAGGGTCCCATCGGTCTGATCATGACGCCCACCAGAGAGCTAGCAGTGCAAATCTTTCGCGAATCCAAGCCTTTTCTCAACGCGATCGGATTGCGCGGCGTTTGCGTGTATGGCGGAGCGCCCATCTCGGAGCAGATTGCAGAGATGAAAAGGACTGCCCAGATCGTCGTTGCCACCCCGGGCCGCATGATCGATCTCCTCACCGCCAATTCTGGAAGAGTGACGAACCTGCGAAGGGTGACGTATTTGGTGTTGGACGAAGCGGACAGAATGTTCGACATGGGCTTCGAACCTCAGGTCATGAAAATTGTCAACAATGTGCGACCCGATAGACAAACCGTACTCTTTTCCGCCACTTTTCCCAAACAGATGGAAAGCCTGGCGCGAAAAGTGCTCAAGAACAAACCGGTGGAAGTGACTGTGGGAGGAAGGTCCGTCGTCGCGCCAGAGATTGAACAGATCATCGAGGTCAGATCGGACGAGAGCAAATTCAATAGACTGCTTGAAATCCTTGGACAAACCTACAACGTGGACTCGGAGGCTAGGACGTTGATTTTTGTGGAGAGGCAAGAGTCGGCAGATGACCTGCTCAGGGACCTGATGCGCAAGGGCTACGTCACCATGTCTCTGCATGGTGGCAAGGATCAAGTGGATAGAGATGCTACTATTAGCGACTTTAAAGCCGGCATTGTTCCCATCGTCACGGCCACCTCTGTCGCAGCGCGAGGATTGGACGTCAAGCAGTTGAAGCTCGTCATCAACTACGATGTGCCAAATCACATGGAAGACTATGTTCACAGAGCGGGACGAACTGGAAGAGCGGGCAACAAAGGAACCTGCGTCACCTTTATCACTCCCCAGCAGGATAGATACGCCAGGGATATCATCGCTGCTCTCAAAGCTAGCTCTGTAGCTGTTCCTGAAGAGCTGCAGCAACTAGCAGATGCGTTCAAGGACAAGGTGGCTGCAGGCAAAGCCCACGCAGCAGGTTCGGGTTTCGGAGGTAAAGGTTTGGATCGCTTGGAAAATGATCGAGAAAGACTATTGCAAGCTCAAAGGTCGACTTATGGCGAAGCAGAAGCTCCGTCGAACACGAACACCGATCAAGGCGGACAAGGGACCAATGCTGCTGCTGTGGATGATATCAAGGTTCAACGCGGACCTCCCATATCGGAAGAGGAGCAGCGCATCAATGACATGCACATCGAAGTCAAGCGGGGCGCAGTGGACGAGTCGCTGAAAGAGAACAAGGTCAAAGCTCCTTCCATCGACGTTGAGAAATCCAACGCTGCAGCAGCGGCAGCTTCAGCTACTGCAGCTGCCAATCAACCCAAAATCGCAGGCGCAAACGCTACGAAACTGGCGCAGGCACTGGCGCAGATCAATGCGGCTGCTGAAGCGCGCAAACAGGCAGAAGCGGAACAGAGGAAGATGGAACGCAAACCGAAAGATCCCGACGCTACGGAATTCCACGCCGTGGTACCCATCAATGATTTCCCGCAGAAAGCGAGGTGGAGCGTTACGGTGAGTAGGGGGTAAAGCTTTGCGCGATGTTGCATCCTCATGAGGAATGAGAGAGAGAGCGAAGAGTTGGTGAGCAGCACAATGTTGCGATTTTGCTGAAGCGTTCTGTTTTCGCTTGCCCCTTTGCATTCGTGGATACAGAACAAGGAGACGGTCTCCAGACTTATCGAAGTCACCGGCGCTTCCGTCACGCTGCGAGGGCAGTACTACGAAAAGGGAGAACCGTCGGCGGGCGAACCTCCCAAATTGCAGCTCCTCATCGAATCGAACGACGAAGATCGGGTAAGTCTCCAAAGGGCGTTCAGCTTTCACGTCTTTCACTTCGCGGCGAATCTTCGTAGCCTCAGCGAAGGCCCCATCGCAACAACCTCCTTCTCAAAGCCTCTCCCGCGCGCTGACACCCCCCCTCTCGTCTCTTCCCTTTGTTTCTTTTCCTTCGTCTCCCCATCTTTTGGCGGAAATTTTTCGAGAACAGGTCGAGAGAGCCGTCAGGGCTATCAAGGAGCTGCTGCTCGAGAGCGCGCAAGCCGCTCTGGAGCACGAGCAGAGAAATCCAGCAGGTCAACAAGGTCGTTACCAGGTGCTTTGAAAATGGCAAAAAAATCACACAGACCCCTTCCCCCCCCCCCTCCGCCCTCTTTCCTCGTGGATTATCAATTTCAGCGCATGCACCTCGTCATACCGCCTCAGCCCCTCACGCATCGTCTGAGCGAGAGCGTGTGTTGGCGCCACTTGAAGTCGGACAGCTCCGATCACGCTCCAAGCACACGTCGTAGTGTCAAGAAAGCATGATTTGGGTAAAAAATTCGTTTGCCCCCTCTTTTGTTTGCCCCCTCTTTTGTGCGCAGGAGCGAAGAGGTTTACATCTCCGGCATGTCTCCGCCACCCTCTGGCATGTTCTGAACTTGCGGCCCCCCTCCGCCCCCACCGCCCTGCTGTCTACGAGCCGAGACAACGTCGTCGACGCGCAGCAGCAAGGATGCGCTCTATGATTGTGCAGGCACAGGAAAGGGAGAAATGTCAGATGCTTGTGGCATCCCGCAACGCCGAAAAGCCCCCCTCCCTTCCCCCCCAAAGCTCTTGCACCCTCATTTTGCCGCAACGCCCGAAACAACGTCTTCTGCCAGCTCAAGAGACACTCACCTCGATGGCCGTCTTGAGCGTCTGCTCCTTGACCGCAGCAGGCTCGTAAAGCCCATAGGCCTTCATCTCTACGATTTTCCCACTCTCTCCATCCACTCCCATGCTGTGCTCCCCATTAGCATGATGAGCTCGGAGGGCCGTCAAGATCTTGATTGCGTTGCCTCCGCAATTTTGGATCAGGGTGCGCGGAATGACTTCCATGGCCTCCGCCACTGCTCGAATAGGTCCAGCTGCTACGCCTTCCGTCGTGCGCGCCAGCTCATTGAGCGCTACAGAGATCGCCATCTCTGTCGCTCCTCCGCCAGGCGCCAATCGAGGGTTAAAGACGACATTGCGGGCAACCGACATGGCATCCGCCAAATTCCTGTCAATCTCGTGCAGGATATCCTTCGATGGACCTCTGAGCAGAATGGTGCAAGCTTTCGGCTCCGTGCATTTTTCCAGAAATGTAAAGTATCTGCGCGGCCAAGAGCATGATGCGAAAGGATGAGTGTCAGTTTGACGCAGGTCAATGGCGCAGCCCTCGAGACGACGCTAGCCACTCACTCGTCGCCGAGCTTCTCGATGTGGAAAAGTCCGCATCGAGTACCGACATCCGACTCGCGCAAGTCTTCCACACGATTGACGATGGTAGCCCCCGTAGCTCTGGCGATACGGTTGTTGTCGCTCTTTCGCACTCTTCTGATCGCGGTAATGTTTTCCTTTAGAAGGAAATGCTGCGCGAGGTCTGGACAAGACGCGCGATGTTTTAGCAGTCAGCTCGAGTCCGGGCGGACATTCTCCCAATGACTGCTCACCGCTGACGCCCTTTTCGGTAAAGACGAGGTCAGGTTTGTGCTCGATGATCTTGTCGCACAGGATCCTGATCTGCTGCTCCTCGATCTCCAAAATCTTGTTCCAATCCTCCTCTTTCTGGATCTCGATGTTGGTCTGCGACTCTCCCTTTTTGTATTCCAGGGGACAATCCAACAGGATGATCCTCGGCTTTTCGATTCTGCGACGCATCTTGGGATGGGTAATGTCCTTGGCTAGCATGACTCCATCTAGCACTCTTGAACTCTCAATCTCTCCACCTGGAACCTTTTCCACACGCGCATATCGCTTGATGTCTACTGTGCCCACATTACCTCCACTGCCTCCAGCACGAGCATCAATGTCGGCCACAGTTCGCACAGCTTTTAGCGCCAACTTGCACATCTGATCCGACCATCTTGAGACGAACTTGGTGCCGATGGACGTCTTGATGAGTTTCAGCATCGAGTCTTCATCCGCGACATCCACTGGAATAGAGATGCGCTGGATGGTCGAGAGCGCCTCTGCGAGTGCTGCCTTGTAGGATTGAATGATGACGACTGGATGCAAGCCCCTTTCCAACTGTGACAAGGACTGCGCCAAAATTTCACCGGCTGGAATGTGGGCAGTGCGAGCATGGTGCAATGCTTTCCGATCAGACCACCCCCCTTTTCCCTGTTCCGCCGAGGCGCCGCAATTGAGCGAGACTCACCCAGCACCACTACACTTGTCGTCCCATCGCCTACCTCCTCGTCCTGTGCTCTGCACAGTTCCAGCACTGATTTGGCCTGTTTGTTGGGGCATACATAGTACAGAAGCGTATCCCGTAATGAGTAGGAGCGTCTAGCTGCTACACTGGCATCAAACACTCACAGCAGGGTGTCCCACTTCGATTTCCCGCAATATGGCAGCTCCATCATTTGTCAACAAGATGCTGCGACGAGTCAAAAGTGTGAGAGGATTAGCATACAGTGCGAGTGCGAGTGCAAGCCACGCTTTCGGACCCCTCTTCTCCTCACCCTCCCATAGGATCGAGGATCATCTTGAGCATAGCTTTGGGACCCAAACAGCTCCTGATGACATCCGCAACAGCTTTGGAAGATGCAATGTTGCTCTCTTGCGTCTTCCTACCGCTCAACCTCTCCGGTCCCTGGTTCATGACGAACACGTTGGGTTGTCCCGCCATCTTGTGAATGCTGCTACGCCTGCTTTTTCGGTCGGTCGGCGATCGAGTCAGAGAGGGGGTGGCGTGTGTGTGCGTGTATGTGTGCGGGGATGACGAAGCCCTTTTCGTGAGCTTAGCTTATCCAGACAATCGTGAATGCAGAGTCAGAAGAGTCACAGTCTAGTGGCCCAGAAGAGAGTGATGATATCTTGGCTTGACTCGGGTCCATCTTCAATCACGAATGCAGATCGAGCCAACTTCTCAAGAAGATGCCTTCAATGTGAACAAACGCGGCTCTCCTACCCTCCTGCTTGGTCGGTCTGATCGCGTCGCAACGCCCGCGTGCTGAACGCGATTGCGCGTTGCGTTGCACTTTTGATTCAAATCCTAAATTCTTTGATTAATTTCAACCCCGCGCGCGTGCGCGCGTGTTGAAGGTGGTCCTCAGCAGGTACGTGCTGCAAGCCTGCTGTGCTGGGTGGAGAAGGTATCAGCGGTAGCGCAATCTGCAAGAAGCCGGTCGATGTCTCCTCTTTTGCCTCCACGTGGGTGATTTTGGAGTCACGTGGTTAAGAGCTGTTTCAAATTCCTATCTCGTACATCTCGTACGAAGCATGCGGTCCGAAAAGCTGCGCAGGCGCCGCGCGGACGGTCGCACCCCCGAGCGTGCAATCCGCACAGCCACCGAAGGAAGCCCTATAGCTGACGACGCACAAGACACACAGGACACAGCAGTCAGAGTCAAGAGTCACGAGTGCTGATTGACTTAAACTCACGACTGTGTGCCGCGGCATGGGTGCGTGCCGCCAGCTGATATATGATGCATGAGAAGTCACGAATACTGCACGCGTACGGGGCAGTTAGTTTGGGTGCGACTAACGCCCATCAGAAACACCTATAGCGGGCCCTTATTGACATGACATGCCGTTATGCTGCTTACCCATCCTCGACGCTGACTCCCACTCGTGTACCCTTCGATGCAAAGCACGCCCCGTACCTTCTGAGTTGAGTGATCATTAGCCTGCTTCTCGTCGTCCCGTCCATCGTCAAAGGTCGATTGACGTGCAGTCGATCGCTCACAACTCACGATTCGGTCGGTATCCTGCTGATCGGTGGATGCATGCATGGGGGTGCTGTTTCCTGTTATAGGTGCTTTTTTGACAAGCATATATGCAGACGGGCAGCAGACACGCCATCCTCATGAATAAATCCAAGTATCCTGAGCGTGCATGTATATATGGCCGCGTGGACGACGGGTGGTGCTGCATGGTGCTACACGGCTGTCTCCCGCACTCGCACCCTCACCCAGCAGCTCGCGATTGCTAAATGAGCGTTGGATGATTGCGACAGCGTGCTGTAGACTCACAGCACTAGTCGGGTGTGGAACGGTCTTACTACGCAGGAATGATTCATCTGACTGCGCCGTCAGCACTGACTGTGACTCGTGAGAATTCTTCTCTTCTCTGGTCTGCGTCAAAGCGCGCCGCCCATGCACCGGACATAGCATATGTACTCCGTCCACTCAGACTCTCAATCACCGCGCTCACAACGTCTCAAACGCAGAAATTCACGGCTAAAGGCAATCAAGTCTTTTCTGGAGCACCGCAAATGCCAAGAGAGTGCGCATGTTGCAGCAGCAGCAGAGTCAAGTCATATATACTAGCTGGGTCAAGGCGAGACCGCGCAAGTTGCCCGAGTCTGATGAGTGCTCGTCAACTGCTGCAAGGAAACGGCAGATGCAGCGCGGCGACCGTTGAGGTTCAGAGCGCGGCGCAGCGACTGCGGTGCATGGCCGCGGTTGTGGTTGTAATTCACGATTCAAGATTGTGATTGGTGCACCTTGAAGGCACGGCTTGCGGTACCATGTGAGTCGAGGGTGTGAGTCACGAGTGCCTCGTCGTTGCTCGTTGTTGCTCGATCGTTTGTTGCGACCGGACCGAGAATTGCGCGCCTGCACGATCGATCAATTCCATCATCGTCCTGCGCCTGCGGCGGCGGTGCACAGCACACAGATGTGCAAAAGCGGCGGCTGAGCTGAGAGAGACGCACGGCTCAATGAAGCTGCTCAAAATTGTGATTGTTCTCCTCGGCTTGGTCCCCTTATATAGCGAATGGCATAGCGGCCGGTGAATCACGAAAACTTTTACGTTTTGCCAAAATCTCATTTAAGTGTGCCGGGTGCGATGTGCAACCTGGCCCTTCACCTTCTCGTGTCCCTCGTGTCTCTCTCTCCCTCTCTCTCCAAGCCGCAGATCTCGTCGCACCTCTCTTTGCCCGTCGGCCCTCTTCCGTCACACCCTCCACCGCCTTACTTGGCATTTCGTCTTGACTCCCGCTCTGCTCCAACAGGCCCATCACACGTCGATCATCACACCTCGACCTCACCTTCTTTGCCCTCAGACCAAACAACAAGGCTCACCAGTCGATTCGATCTGCGCTACTTCACATTTCAGCGTTCATCATCTTGCTCCTACCCAACCAACTCGCTGTGCAAGATGAAGCTGTCCAGCATGATCCTCAGCTTTGCCTTGCTGGCTGTGCTTGGTCTTGTGAACTCGCTTTCTGTTGACTTTCCTGCCTCTGCCAAGGGTGACGGGTACTGGGTAGTGAGTGATCAGTGTCGCACTCGCTGGCTTGAGAGGATCAAGTGAGCGAAGAGAGCTGGCGCGAGGCGATGCTAACGCGTTCCACATCCAGGCCAACGCCACCAACACGCTCAACTGGCGGGGTGAGTGCGAAGGAATTGGCACTGGCATGCACAAGCGCTTCACGCAATCGATCTAGGAGACGCAACGCTGACGTGTGGCCCCCCATCATCCATCACCACCTCGTTTGGTCCTCAGCCAACGCGAGTGATCCCGAGTACTTTAGCGTTCAGCTGCTCAACTCCAACTCTAGCAGCCTCAATGGCAACTTTCAGATCGCCAATGCTATCAGCACTGCCAACGGATCAGCTCAGGTGAGGACTTGCACACCGACGCTGGATTCGGATGCTGCCTTCCAGCTGGTCCGAGTTAGGGGGCCAGCCGTAAGCGAGCTATGGCTGAGTGTATGCTTCTTGACTCTTCCTTGCCTTGTTTAGATCTTCATCGACAACGTGAGTTGCCGAAATGTACGCCATGTTGAGCGCTTTGCCATCCTTGCTGACCCTCGTGCGCCCTCGCTGCCATGCGCACAGATTCCATCCGGCTCTTACACCCTTTTGCTCGTCAATGCCAGCAAGTACAGTCTCAACAAGCCACAAGTGTGCGTCAGTCTGACCTCCTTTCCCCCTTGGCGTGTGCTGATGATGACGTCTCGAGCTGACCAGCTACCTCGTGCGCTCGACTTTAGCTTTTCCACTTCCTTGCCTTTCCAGTTGAAGCCAAAGGGTACTGAAAAGGCCAATGCCAACCCTTACGCCACCGCATACAGCCACGATGGCTCGTCGTCCACCACTACCACGAACGCAAACGGTCAGACGGTCAACAACGACGCTTTGGACTCGGCCAATGCTGCGGGAAATGGCACTTCATCGAACAGCAACGCTCATCAAGACGCTGCATTGCACCAAGCTCCTGCCATCCGAGCTTCCGTGCTCATTGCGCTCGTCGCGACCGGAGTCGCTCTTCTGGCCTGATGGGATTAGGGATGGCGGGGGGTTTGGAACAGTCGGCGCATGCATGCCGATTGCACGTCGTCCTTGATCCATCCGCACATGATCCTTTCGCTCTCGTCTATCTACCAAAGTGCCAGTCGAGAGGGCTCGTTGGCCCCTATCGTTTCGCTCGCCGAGAGCAATCCCCCCCGCCCCCGACTCAGCGTCCGCCCATTTTGCACGTCATATGGACCTTTCTTCTCCTGCTCCGCTGACCTCAAGAGCGTAGCAAGCGAGCAAGCAAGCAAGCACGCAAGCAAGCATTGAACTTATCGCCTTGTCAGTGCCTGCTGTTGTGCGTGCTCGTCTTGTGAGAATGGACGAGGGATGTGGGAGGCTGAAGAGGTCGTTTGAAAGGGTTCAGAATGTTTGGGGAAAGCTTGCATGCGATTTCCCCCCCCCACTCCTCCCCGGCGCCCCCGATCTGCTGCATACACTAATCCATGAGACCAATCGAGAGCATCGGGCAAGGCAGTAAGTAGCAGTAGAAGCGATCGAGTAATCATGGTCGTTGTTTTGCTGCCGCGCGGCCGACCTCTTGCGGGTGTGGGCGCGTGATGCAGCAGGAAGCATCCCCTGCTGGACATGCATGCTGCATGCATGCATGCATGCACGCAGTCAGGAGCAGGAGCAGGACCATGGATGGGGCTGCATGGCCATCAAGGACTTCGCGATTCGCGATTGAGTGATTCGCGATTGCTTCTTGATTGAGCTGGCGTGGGCGTGGGCGTGCGGGGCACGGCCGTCGGATATGGGCCGGGGAGGTCGTGAGTGATGGAGAACACGTGCGCGCCCCGCCCCGCCCCGCCCCGGGCCGCAGGTTTGGGGGGGATATTCAGCAAGGGGCCAGTCAAGAGTCAAGAAGTATTCATCTTGTCTGCAACGTAGACAGGCGCCAAACAACTTCATCATGAATTTGATTCAAATTATACCAGGGAATCAAGTATCATCATCAATCAGAATCAAATCGTGAATCGTGAATGCAGAATCAAGATCGAAATCCGCTAATCAAACCTTTTTTCAAGACAGACAAAAAGGAAAAAAAAAAAAAGATGCCCCCCCTCCCGCCCGCGTAAAATTTCATTCTTGATTTCCTCCCCGCTGCCTCTTTTTTTTTACTTCTTGGGGGGGATGGGAAGGGTTTGTTTTTTCCCCTCTCCCTGCTGCTGCCAGGTCCACGTCCGCGTGCGCGTGCGCGGTGGACGGGGGGTCTGCAAAGTCGTGCGTTTTTTTTGCACCGCCTCATCGAGGGAGAAGAAAAAAAAACCCATGCAACAGTATTCAAATCCGGGGGCGGGAGAGTTTGCCCCTTCTTAATTGTTCACCCCCATTTTGATCTTTTGAAGTCTTGAGTGAAGCTTGCTTGAAAACAGAGCTAGAACAGCTAGCGTGCAGATTCGAATATTAACGATTCTGATTCAATTGTTAATTGATTCTTGAGTCTTGATTGCGAGCCAGCAGCAGCAGCAGCAGCAGCTATATAGCCACATGCATGCTCCTTCCCACGCGCGACTAGCCTTGCGCTGATGCTGATGCTGCTGCTGCTGGATAGCTTGCTCGCTGCACGGTACGGTACGGCACGGCACGCGATCGATCGAGCAAGCCGAGCCGAGCCTTTCGCTCCAGCTCATGCAGCCTGCATATGATGCTGTGTGCGTGCGCGTGCGCGTGCGCGTGTGTGTTGCGGCGAGCACGCAAGCTGCTGGGCTGGATGCAGCCAGTCAAAAATCAAGAATATTTTGTTGGCGCGGACCGCAATTGCAACGCACTCGTGACTTGCGCGCAGCATGGCGCTGCGCAAAGAGAAGCACGGATGGGCACCGAACCGGCACCAGCACCAGCACCAGCACCAGCCACGAGCACCAGCCACGAGCACCAGCCACGAGCACGAGCATGGCGAGCGGGGCGGGGTGGCGAGCGGGGCGGGGGGGCGGGGGTGAAGCCGTTGCGCGACGATGCTTTTCGCTTCCTGGCGGATGGCGGGCCGAGACGAGCCCAAAAATCTTGATGAGAAGGGGGGCCGGGGCCGGGCTGCTGCATGCTAGCTGCTGCTGGCGATTCTGATTCTGATTCTGATTCTGATTCTGATGATTTTGCGTGCATGCAGCCAGCCGCAAGTCATTCATTCATTCATTCATGTTTGACCACGCGATCGAGCGAGTTCGAGTGCGAGTGCGAGTGCAAGTCCGGCATACAGCAAGGGTTGATGGATGCTTTCACCAGTCTTAACACCACCTTGCCCCCCCCCCTATTTTTCAGCAAAAGTGTTCTTGACCCCAGACCGCGCAACTAGCTACTCCCTTGCTACTCGCGCCTGTACTCCGCTCGTGTTCATCAGCGCAGCGGACCGTCGGACTAGGAGCGAACAGCATCGCTCCTGCTACCACTCCATCGTCAGCAGCAGCAGCAGCAGCTAGTAGGAGCCCATTTGCACAGCTTTGATCTGCCTCTTCGCTTCCCTCCGACACCTTCAACACACCCACAACAGCAGCCCCATCTTCGCCCCAGCTCGACGCTTGTACAGCTCTCACTCGGCCTTCTTCGCGGCCTCTGCCACGTCCATCTCAAGCCCCTTTCTTTTGCAGTGCGGAAACAAGCTGGTCCTCAGTGGGCGGAGTGTCTGGTATATTACAGCTACGGCCAGGCCAGCTTCAAGCCACATTGTCTCTACACTCCCGCCTCGCCAGTCTACGGGTCGTGCGAGGGTAAGTGTAGCAGCTTGGTTTGCGTGAAAGGGGAAGCGGTGTTAAGCAACAGCGACGTGAAGGAGCATGCGGGTGCAGTCAGATTCCGGCAAAGTCCGAGAGCTACAGAGTCGCTCGGACTGCGATAGCAACGCGCAGGCCGAGCCAAGCCGTGGAGCGCCAAGATTCCTGCTCCGCGTACGGCGGGCGCAGTGCTGGTCCTGGCCTAGCCGAGAAAGCGCACAGCTGACACGTCATTCTTTGGCCTCTTTTGACACCTCACAGTTGTCGACAGGGCTCATTAGCTTGTGCACCTGTCGACGCCAAAGACCACGGCTTGTATCTGGCCAATCATGAGCTCAACGACCACAACAGGGGCCAAAAGCTCCTTCGAGCTCGGCGGTCAGTCGAATGTGAGTGTGGTCAGAACGGAGGGAGCGGGCCACTTTCCGCCGCGCGGCAGGAAGAAGGGGTTCTTGCCAGCGCCCCAGAGTCAACAAGAGAGGCTCGAGATCGCGGCACGCCCCTCTCTCTCTCTGGTAGTGCAAGCCGAGGCACTGGTGATCACGAGCGCTTCACATGAGCGCCTTCGAGATCGTACAGCGCTGACGACGCTGGTGCTTCGCCATTACTGTCGCTTCCTCAGACCAATAGCAAGAGCGCAACGCCTCTTCACGGTTTCGCAGCACCGCCAAAAGGCTTCTTTACGAGCGCACAGGCGGCCAACGGTGCTCTGCCCAACACCGATGCCCGTAAGAGCGCCTCGAGTGCCAGCCCAATGAGTGTCACTTCCAACAACACCACCTCCACCGCTCCTACAAGCGATGCCCGCAGCCCCCCTTCAGGCTACGATGATCTGCCGCCAGCAAGCTCACCCTCGGCGGTCCCAACAAAGGGTCGTCGTCGCGAGTCGATTGGGGGACAAATGCGTCGCAAGATCTCAGAGTCGCCAGCTGCGGCTGCGGGTGTGGGTAGCGGCGCTCTTGGCACGTCTTTCACCATGCGTGGCCAAGCCATTCCCAATGGTCGCGCTGGTGCCAATAGTCCTTTAGATGCCAGCACCATGTCCACCAGCCTCGGCGCCGCAGCGCACGCCCTCACCTCGACCACTGCTTTTGCTCGCTCTCAGCCCAACGGAGCAGCGCGGGCTCCCTCTGCGAATGGCAACAGATCTGCTGCGCCAAAGACGGAGCGCATTTCGTCGCACACTCACTTTGGTCAGGAGTGCTACGGTCCGCAGCCTGGCGAGACGCCGCTCGCACCTCCTTCCTCCGCAATGCTCTCCTCGTCCACCCATGGAGATGGCCACAATAGCAACAACTCGGAGGACGACTCGTCCAGTGGCAAGCGAAGTGCTAGGGGTCAGTCCGCTGCTCCCTCCACATCTTCGGATGATGGTGTTGGAGCCGACGGTCTGTCCAAGTCTCTCAGCTCTGCCAATGCCATGCTGCACAAGTGCGAAGCCTGCAACAAAGTTTACCGACATCCCAGCTGTCTGATCAAGCATCGTTGGGAGCACACCATCTACTGGAAGGAGGCGTCGAAATTTCTCATGTCAAAGCACCAGCAGGTCCAGTTGCTAGAAGCTGCGGCAATCCTGGTCGGCATGGACAACAATGCGCGGTCTCTCCCCGAAGAAAAGGCACTCTGGCCAGCTGCTGTCAGCCCGCCCAGCTCTGGCCTGCTAGGTTCCGACCGGATCAACTTTGAGAAGCTCATGGCTCAAAAGGGACAATATCGCGGCGCAAGTCGAGAACCTCCATCCCCTTTTCTCAATGGCAACACGCCTTCCTCGCGCTACACGCCGCTGCCATCCACCACGCCGCAAAGTCTTCCGTACCGACCGTCCAACGGAAGTCTGCCTAGTCCCCTCGACGCCCTCACGTCGCTCAACATCAGCACGCCTCGCATGCGCGGCGGCATGCACAATGGCGATGTGCAGCACCTCCAGCTCGACGAGAGTGCTGAGCGAACCGATCGATCAGGGTCGGCAGACACGGAAGACGACGACCATGACCCCGACACGCCACCTGACCATAGCTTGTCGGATGAGCGCGAGAGGAGCGATCTAGGCGCAGGCATCGAGATTGAAATGGACATGGACGAATAGGGAGGGACGAATAGGGAGCTTTGCATTGCGTCTCTCCCGACAAATGTGTCGCTCTCCTCTCCCTCACCACCATCACCGCCGTCGCCACCGCCGCCGCCGCCTCCGCTGCCACCCTCACCATCATCCCCCACCTCTTCAGCTTTAGCCTTTTGCCAACGCCCCTTTTCTCACGCTTTTTCGTCGTCACCATCGTGCAAATTGTACTTGTTCGTGGGTATGCCAACGTGAGCATGTTCTCTCCATTCAATTCCCCCTTTCCCGTCTACCACTGCTCTTTCTTTGCCCAGACTTTTTCGACATTGTGCTACGCCCAACGTATCCGCAACGCCTGCTGTTCGTTTCGAGCATTTTTCCCACTCCTGACCCGCTCCATCCATGTTCCCCCCCCCCCCTTCCCTTTTCTCTCCCTCTCCGCTCGCAACCCTCAAGGTTCATCTCTCAACATTTTTATACGTCATCGTCATTGTCGTTGTTGTTGCGGAGAGTATTGGCGCTGGAGCCGGCAAGCGAGGAAGTGGCTGGCGACGACGGGTGCGCATTTTTTACACGAGGTGGTTCATTGCAGTGCGCAAAGAGCACGGGGGGGGAAAAGGTGGAAGAGGGCTTAGCGAGCGATTGGGATGCTCGCCAAATGTCGCTCGTTGTGCAAGGGGTGCATGGCGTTTATTCTTTTGTAGGCGAAGGATATCACAGAGAAAGGAAATAAATGAAAAAGGGAAATCCATGGCGGATGGGAGGCAACATCGTGTTTGAAGCTGGTTGGGGAAAAGAGAGCGTGTGAGGGCGGGGAGGCGGGGGGCAAAAATATCCGAACCGAAGGACGTGGTGCGCGAGTCGTCGTTGCATGGCTGCGTAAGTGCAAGTTGTCCGCCCTGACACGAGAATTTTGAGATGGATTGCGGATGCGGATGCGGAGTGGCACGATCAGGAACAAGAGGAGGGTGCGGTGGAATGGATGACTGCAACTGAGAGAGAGAGGGAGGGAGCGATATCGAGGGACAATCAGATGCGTTGCGGCTGGTCAGCCCCATCGCTGATCTGCAAGAAGGGGGGGGAGAGTTTTGACTTTTCCCTCCACCCCCCGCCGGCCGCCCTTTTCGACTCTTTTCATTTTGCGAAGGCGCAGACCGTCCTCACGGAGCGTCGGCCATCCTAGCTGCAGCATTTAACCTCCTCCGACGACGAAATTCCTCAGAGAGGCCAATGCCCGCCTCTTGGACGCAAAAAGTGCGAAATCATGTTTTGCAAGGAAAGTGGGGGGAGGGGGGTAAAAGCAAAGTGAGCACGGCAGCTTACTGCGCTAGCTAGCTAGCGAGCAATCCTTTCGTCGTGATCTGGGCTAAAGGCGGACAGGACGCGCGCTTGTATTCGAATGCATGGCAAATTGGTCAAGCCCAAGCCGCCGAGGTGGCTCGTTGCAGTCCCCTCATTGTGACGAGCGGGCATCCATCATCTCGGCAATTTGGCACGCGCACGCGCACCCGCACAATGGTATGCTCTGGCGAAATTTGCATGGGCTCGCTGCCACCAAATACCCTGGGCAACCCAAAAGCTGCGCTTTGAAGTGGCATGGCTGCCAACGCTCTCCAAGACCCTTCTTTAACGCTTCGAGTTGCAGAAAGGGAACCAAAAAAAAAAAAAAGAAGGAGGGGCGCGGACATTCAAAGATTCTGGGCAGCGCCTGGACGTAAAGAAAGGGCTGCAGCTCCGCGCCTTTGTTTTGGTTAGCAACACCTTCTCCAGCGCCCGTAATGGTGCTCTGAAGTGCAAAGCTTTTCTGCTTGCCAAGCAGCTCGCCTTCGCACAGAGAAAGACCTTCTCTTGCACAACTTTTCATCCCTCGGCATCTGACGATCGAGAGATCTGATTCGCCTCGCGAGCGTTATTGGTCCTGCAAGATCATTGCGATTACGATGCAAAAATTCCCACTCTACCGAACGGATTGCCTCCTCACTGTACACATTACTCGAACTCATCTATCGTCCCCCCTAATCCAATCGCCGCTTTTGCTTCCGCTCTTTTTGCAAACGCGCACCTCATCAATGCTCATCCCTCTTCCAGCTACGGATTTCAGCATGTCCCAAATGGTCATCGCCGCGACATTTACGCCCATCAGCGCCTCCATCTCGACGCCCGTTGCGGAGTTGGTACGTGCGGTGCAGGTGATCAGGATGTGCGCCACGTCCGCATCGTGCGTGCGACTCTTCAAAAAGTTGCTGCTGCCCAAATCCCGCCGCCCAGCAGCTGCAGTCGACTGTGAGCGCGCAAACGCATGCGCTGAATCCACCTCGCGCGCAATCCAAGCTTCCTCCTCTTCTGGTGCACCTGGCAACCCGTCGGTGCGCTGTGCATGCAGCACATCGTCCGACACATCGCTGGAAGTAGTCTCTACGATTTCCAACCTTACATCCACATCCGTCAAAGCGATGGGATGACAAAGCGGGATCAAGTCGTGCGTCCTTTTGGCAGCCATGATTCCCGCAATCTGCGCCGTGTGCAGCACCGGTCCTTTATCCTTCCACCTGCGCATCCTCACCTCGCTTCCTTGCTGATGCGAATGCTCCTGACCTCGTACCAAAGGGACGATCCACGCAGGGATGCTGACCTTTGCACTCGCGGTGGCTGAGCGATGCGTCGGCGTCTTGGCAGAGATGTCGACCATTCGTGCGCTTGCATGACCGTCGGACGAGTCAATGTGCGTCAAGCGCGGACCCGAGGTCGCGAAGGACATTGCAGGAGCTCGTCGTGGATCGTCTGATGCGTCTTGCAAGCGCGTCGAGACCGCTTGCTGTTGGGCAGGTACTTTCATGTCTGGAGAAGCCATTTCCATGGCACGCTCGATAGATGACGGTTCGTGCGCTCGCGAAGCAATTTTCTCGAAATTCGCGTTTGAGCCTGCTCGCCCATCAACATGACGCATTGGCCGAGGCACGCGCAGGTCCGAAGCGCTGATGCCGTCCGCAATAGCGTCCAGCGAAGCCCAGGGCGAGTCGTTGCATGTCGGATCAGCCGCGTTCGAACCCATATACTCTGACCAAGAGACGGCAGGTGGAGCGTGCGCATCCGCAGCGCAATGACTAGATGTAGGCGGCCATTTCGGAGGAGCAGAAAAGCTCAGAGATCCTCTGGAAGAGCCTGTATCGGCGAGCCCGCTGTCCCTCTCGAACGCGTCGTCGAGGGTGCTCCAGGGGTCCAGATCTACAGAAGCATCGGCAGCTGCAGACCTATGCTGCGAAGATGCGGGCTGCGACCGAACTTGTTCGCCTTTATTTTGGTCGCGGTGTGATGCCGCGCAGCTTGCGAAGGCTCTAGCGTGCAGTGGGCCATGCGGGCGCGGCAAAGAGGTCCACAGAGGCACTGGGCGAGCTGCTGATGGTCCAGGAGGTCTGTTGAGCAGACTAGCGCGCATGGGCGTGATCGGAACGAGCAAAGCTCTCGCCCCCGATGGCCTGGCGCCTGATGACAAGCTCGTGGCAGAGGCATCGTGAGGGCTGCGTTGTGCAGCTGCGTAGTACGGTCGCAAAAAGACGACGGGCGACGGTCAGTCGCGATCCTGTCCCGACGACTCGAAGCACGTCACGAGCTAGATGAGCACGTCCGACGTATCCTCCTGCACGTGCACCAACTAACCTGCGGCCCCAAGCCTACCCACCAATCCGAATCATGCTCCTGTTATCGCTTTTTGCGATATCGTCCGGACTGGGCAGACCGGCGTGCTTCCTGTGCTTCTTGTATAGAGCCGCATTGATAATGTCCAGCAGCTGCTCATCCGACGCGCTCTGCGGGGAGTTGGAAGGCGAAGCGAAGGTGGCGAAATCGGTAGACGATGATGGAAGGATACCGTGACGCATAGCGTCTCGCAGACTGATCTCCTTGTTGCCAAAGAGACACACTTTGAGATTGCCGTCTGCTGTGATGCGCAGCCTGTTGCAAGTGCCGCAGAAATTATCCGTCATGCTGCGGAGCCAAGAGGAGAGCAGCTAGTGAGTGAAAGGGAGGCAGGGATAGCGCGGACACGAAAAAATCAACGCACCTGGTGATGAAACCAAGCCTGCCGCGATGACCTGGCACTTTCCAATGCTTGCTCGTATCATTTTTATCGTCTTGCACGCGCTCAAGCGGTCCAAAGGCAGCTTGTATGCGTTGCAGCAGCACCTTGTAAGGCACCAGGGACGTGGCCTGCCAAGAGTTGCCAGAGAACGGCATGTACTGAGAGTTGTGCAAAGTGAGAGGTCAGCCTTGGGCCATGTTCGCGCACAGTGAGCTGGCTGTATTCATGACGCGCACCTCGATGAATCGCACCGTGATCGGCTTGTCCTTGGTCCATCGCACAAAGTCCAATACGTCTTGCTGGTCATTGACGCCGCCCATGACAACCACATTGACCTTTGTGTGGATGCCCAACTGCAGACTCTGTTCGATGGCATCCAGTACCCTATGCAGACCTTTTGAGGATCTGCGCGTAAGACTCTCGAAGGTCTCTGGCTGCAGCGTGTCGAGGGAGATGTTGAGGTGAGTGAGACCATTGGAGGCGAGGTGAGGCAGCTGGCGCGCGAGGGACAAGCCGTTGGACGTCATGCCAATCTGCTTCAAGCCAAGCGGTGCAAGCTCTTGCAGCGATGCTGGCCGCGGGCAGGGCGCAGAAGTCGAGTGAGTGAGCGGTGTACATTCACGTGATTGCCTTCCTCCCCCTCCCCTCCCCTACACTCGATGGTGCGGCCTGCCTTCCTCACGCTCACCTACGATATCCGACAAGTCCCTCCTGACGCTCGGTTCGCCGCCCGTCAACCTGATCTTGTCCACGCCATTCCGCACAAACAGTTCCGCCAATCGTCGAATCTCTTCTGAGCTTAGCAGATCATCGTTGGGTGTGAGATTGTCCAGACCGTCGAACGGCATGCAATACACGCATCTCAAGTTGCACCTCTCCGTCAGCGATATGCGCAGATAAGTGTGGTGTCGATTGTGAGCATCCATCAGCCCCTTCGCAGGTGCAGGTGCAGATGGAGCGATAGCGCGTATCGTCGTTGACGACGACGACGGCGACCGACCCTCCCGCCTGCGCTGATCCACCCGCTCAATATTCAGCCTGGCGCGCGCCCTCAGCTCCTTGGCTCGAGCCATGGCCATGGCTTGCACCGCTAACGCATCCGCATTACCGCCCCGCGCATCCAGCTCATCCCCATTCGCGTGAGTCGAGATGCCGTGATGTCGAGCGCGGCGGCAGGAGAAAGATTGTAGGCTAGATAAGGACAAGGATGATGAGCACCATGACCTTGACCGCACTCCCTTTGCTGTGCGCAGGGACGACATGCCTGGAGTCCAGCGTGTCGAAGGGCCGTGCAAGGGGTTGGCAAGTCGGGGAGTGTGACTGGATGTGAGTCACTTGCACCCTGTGTATATGCCACTGTCTGCCGCACCTTGCGTGTGCAAGCGTGCGTGTATGCTTCGGGGACGCTTGTGGTGGTGGTTGCCGCCTGGATTGATTGCAGAGGCGAGCTTCTTGGCTGTGCTGTAGCGTTGATCTCGCGGCGATTTGATTTGGATTTGGTTTGATTTGCAGCGTATGCTTGCTTGTCTGCCGAACGCGCGGCACGTCTCGGCTATACCTGCCTCGATCGAATCACGTGAGAGAAAGTAAGCTGAGGTCCTGCCTACCGCCTACCGCCTACCGCCTACCGCCTACCGCCTACCGCCTACCGCCTACAGCCTAACTATACCGCACGGCAACAAATGAGCGGTGAATTTCAGTTTAGCAGTCGCATGTGGCAGGGCTTCGGGTGACGATGGACGCGCGGCGAGCGGGTGCGTGCGTGCGTGCGCAATCATCGCAATGAAGAGCATCACGTTCGTTGCCTGCCATGCATGCATGCATGCATGCTGCGCGCTCCTTTCGAAATTCGCTCCTTCCACTCACAACTCGTGACTGCAATTGAATCACAAATGCATGACTACATGACACGCACCCTCGATTTGGATGAGTGCCAGTTCGAGTGCGAGTGCGAGTGCTGCGAGGTACAAGGCAGGACATTTCAACAAGGCATTCACGATTGTGATTGCCATTCAGCCTACATCTCTACCCCCATCTCCTCCACCAACACCGCATGGAGGCTCACATGCTCAGTATTCGGTGCCAACAATGTCCACCGCGTTCGCCATTCCTCGCACCTTTGCTCGTGGCACCGTGTATGCTGCACGCAACAGACCATCGGCCGTGATGTCTGCTGCCAGCTTCAACGCCAAGGTGCTGCTCAGCACAAAGAGCAGCCGCAGCAGCCGCCGTATGCTCAGTGCCCCTGCATCCACCTTGTCCCCACCTCATCCTCGTCGAGGGCTTGCGCTGAGCGCCATCAACCACCCAGCTCCACTCGCGTCCGCAAGCAGCAGCTTTGGCTGGTCCGCACTGCCGCATCCTCACCTTGCTGCGTCCACCAGCAGACGCTCTCTTCACTCTGCACGCCAGCAGGGACGTCACGAGTACGATGTGATGCTGCTGCTGGCTCACAGTCATCGCATCCTCGCATCTTCGACCGAGCCAATCGCATCGCTGCGAACTGCTACACCTGTCCCTGTCCGCAGTCAGCGTCGCTGGCAGCACGGCACCCAAACGCAAACATCTGGCAGCAGTCCTGCACCCCCGCCACCACCTCCCACGAGCGCCAAGGCAACCTCTTCCGCAAACAGCTCTTCCCATGTTCGCGATGCCGATGCCGCCTTCTCGTCCACATCTGCTCCCACATCACCTCACCAGGATGGCAACGCATCAACCTCGCACATCTCGCGGGTAGTGCCAGTGCTGGGCAATCCCGCTGAAGAGCTTGGCAGCGCGTCCAATCAACTCAGCGCATCCCAAGCACAGCTGACGGAAAAGCAGGAGAAGGAGCTGGAGGCAAAGCGGGCAGAGGAGGAGTGGAAGAAGCAACCATTCGTAAAGCGGGCTTGGATCAAGGTCAAGGAGGAAGCTGCTCACTACTGGCACGGCACAAAGCTCCTCGCCAAGGAGGTCAGGATCAGCGCAAGGCTGCTTAGACGGCTCATGCTCGGATATTCGCTCACTCGGAGGGAACATCGTCAACTGAAGAGAACGACGGCGGACTTGTTGCGCTTGATCCCATTCGTGCCATTCATCATCATTCCAGCTGGCGAATTGCTCTTGCCCGTGGCCATCAAGATCTTCCCCAACATGCTGCCCTCTACCTTTGAGAGCAAGTTCGCCGTCGAGCAAAAGAGGCGTGGTCTCATCAAGGTCAGACTGGAAATGGCAAAGTTCTTGCAAGAGACCATTCGAGAAGGTGGCATACAGGCTCCCAACGCTGTGCAGACGACCGATGAGTTCAAAGAATTCTTCAGAAAAGTGAGTAGCGTGTGTGCATGCATGCTGCGAGGCCACACGAGTGCTGATTCGACGATGCCGCGGTGTTCTCGACAGGTTCGATCGACTGGCGAAGAGCCCTCCGAAGAAGACATTTTGAAAGTCGCAAAGCTCTTTGACGACGAAGTCACGCTGGATAACCTGACTCGGCCGCAGCTGGTGTCCATGTGCAGATACATGCAAATCAATGCCTTTGGCACCGACAACTACCTGCGCTACCAGATCAGAGCTAAGCTGAACAGCATCAAGCGGGACGACATGACGATCTCTGCAGAGGGCACGGACAACATGAACCTGCACGAGCTACAGAGCGCATGTCAGAGCAGAGGCATTCAGACGCTCAATCTGAGCGAGGAAAGATTGAGGCACGAGTTGATGCAATGGATCCAGCTGCACTTACATCAACGCATCTCGGGCACGTTGTTGATTCTCAGCAAAGCTTTCAACTACTTGCCGCAGGGCGCAGAAGAGGAGAAAGCGAGCTCTCAATTGCAGAGTCTGCAACTGACTCTCAGCAGTCTGCCAGACGAGTTGATCGAAGAGACTGAGCTGAGCGTATCAAAGGACAGCGCGACCAACAAGCAGAGGTTGGAGGTGCTGGAACAGCAAGAAGATTTGATCGCCGACGAAGCAGACCAAGAGCAAGCAGAGGAAGAAGCTCGCAAGGCAGACAAGGAGAGGAAGAAGCAGCTGGTAGAGAGGCAAAAGCTGAGCCAGGAAGCAGAGGAAGCCAAGAGCCTGTTACCCAATGCCGAGGTGCAGCAGGACCCGCAGGATGCTAGGATGACCAATGAGCAACTCACCGAATTGGGCGAGGCTCTCAGCATTCTGAGCGCCAAATCGAGCGTGCTCAAGGAGAGAGCGGAATTGGCCCAGCTGATCAAGGAGGTGGCGGGCGAGGAGAACATTTCCGTGTCGGAATTGACTGCGTCCGAGAGCACTGCAGCTTCGGCCGAGCAAAAGGACAGTTCTTCGAGCGAATCCAAAGAGTCTGCAGAGGGCGGCGCTACGTCGTCTAGCGTCTCTTCCGCATCTCGAAGCCTGGCCAAGCGGGTCAAGGCGATGTTGAAGAAGATCGATGCGCAATTGGAAGAGTATGACAAGGATGTAGGATCGCGAATGCACATCATCGAGACTTCTCCCAGCGGCAAGATCAGCGTGGACGATGTTGGGCAAGCTTTGAGGCTCATCAAGCACAAACCCGACGACGATGTGCTGGAAAAGATTGTGGACAAGCTGGACGTGGATAATGATGGATTGGTGCCGCTGGCTGATCTGGTAGAGCTGGCTAGGCAAGAGACGGGCTTGGGAAGGTTGAGGGAGGAAGATGCGTTGCCGGACGAAGTCAATGAGGTCAGAGCAGCTAGCAACAGGCTGAGGGAGGAAAAGAAGCCGGAAAAGAAACCTCGCAGGGAAGATATTGTCAAGGAAGAGTAGTCAAGTCGACTTTTTGGATTTGAAAAACTTGTCGACGACGCTTCTTCCCACTGCACGCCCACCCCTCAAAAACTACTGTGTGGTATCACACTCATTGCGCAGAGCCCATAGAATCCACACTACACGCATTTGTTAGGCATGCTGTACCATTTGCTTGAGTCACTTGTCTACATATGAAATTCGTGTGCTTGTCAAAGGGCGGGGGAATGTGCGTGCGCGCGTGCCGGCAAAGTCCCAAATCATTTGTTCGCTGCTATAGCTAGCTAGCTTTTGGCCTTTTTCGATTTGCTCTTGGGCGCAGCGGGCTGCTCGGACCTGGTTTGGGAAATCGCTATGGAAATGTCCGCGCCATACCTGGCGGCCACAGCTTTTCGAGCAGCCTGCTGTCGAATGACCAAAGCTTGATGCTCTTCCAAGCGTTGTCTGACGTATTCGACGGCTGAGCGGAAAAGCGCGGAAAAGAAAAAAGTGTTTAGCTGGCGCTTCTGGAAAGTCAGTGCCCACACGCGATGCTCACTTTCGTGCAAGACGATGGCTTCGCTGCGCGGTCCTGCCCTCCCATCAATCTTTTCTCCACCCACTTCCCAACCTTCCTTTTTCTTGCTGGCAGCAGGAGCAGGCGATGGGTCGGTGTCCATGCTGGAGCCATCTCTGCTCTTTTCAGCAGCAGCAGCAGCGCTCGCCTCCGCACCCAACGCTTCTCTGAGGTTAGGCACCAGATCACAAAGCATCTCGTAACCTTTCCTGATATTCGCGCGCCTCTTTTGCTCCGACGCGATGTGATTGGCCTTCTTTTCCGCATCTGTCAGCAAGACGTGCGGCGCGCCCTTTTCCTTCTTTGCCGCTGACGCCGCGGCCGAGCTGCTCGCCTTGCTCGGACCGCCCTCTTCATCTGCATCCACCTCTGCGCTGCCTCCAGGCCGCTTGGAATCGCACTTCTTCAAAAGTCCCGCTCTCCTCTGTTCCCGAAGCATCTCAAGATGCGGCTGGAGCTTCTCAAAGGGCGTCGAATGAAAAGTCGCGCGTAAAGTAGACGGAATCGACTCCAAGCCTTTTTGCACATCGATGCTGACTGGCGGTGGCATGGGCGCAGGTGGGGCCGCACGGCTCGGGGAACTCTCGAGGAAAGCTTGCGCTCTCTTTGCAAAAGAGTCTGATGATTGCGCCTCTCTCTGTGAGCCCTTGACTTCGCTGCTTCGTCCCCTTGGTTGACCGCCAGCCGACTCTGCAATCTCATTTGACTTACTACCCGGCAAAGCATGCGTGGATACAGCTGCTCCTGCGCCAGCCCGATGCAAGCTGGTTGATCTGTTTGGCGTCCCAGATTGCCAGCTTTGTGCGCCCTGTTCAGAGGGGTGAAAATGCTGCGCGGAGGCTGGTGCTGCTTGTCCTGGAGCTGCAGGGAATGAGTGCGTCGAAGGGAAGGATAAGCCCAACATGCCCAGATTGGAAGGCTGTCGGCCCGAGTCCGAGCCTGAACGTTGTGGCCACATGTGCTGCGATCCAGGAGGCGCATTGTAGGAGTGCGCTTGACCTCCCACGAACGAAGCCCCTCCCGGTGCGGGTTGAAAATGCGGGCCTGCTGGATGTGAGGGCCCGCTGGCTTGCGGTACATACCCGCCAGGTGCGGAGGCCGTCGCGCCAAAATGCGAAGGAGGCTGCACACCGTATTTGGCCAGTGCAGCGGCATAAGCTTGGCCGTGGGGGCCGGGAGGGTAATCCGGAACGCCATCGCTGCCATCGCCAGCATATGGCGCTTGTTGTCCAGCATTCAGCTGATAGATGGGATGTCTGCTGATCTGCGGGGTATGCGCCTGACTTGCGCTGCCAGACCGGGCGTGCGCCAAGTACTTGTCCCTTTCGGCTTGCAGAGCTTCCAACTGCTCCAACTGCCAGGCGCGATCTTTGCCGTAAGCACCCCGCTGTCCGGATCCCACGGGTGTGTTGCTGCCGCTGCCACTACCCTCGCCCGCTTTGCTTCCCTCACCGCCGCTCGCCATACCCATGCTCTGACCTGCGCTCGAGAAGCTGCTGCGCTCTGCACTGCTATTGCCGCCATTGGCTGCAGCAGTTGCATTCAGCCATTGAGGATCGAAGAGGCTGGGTCTGTGCGCCGACTTTTCCCAATTCTGACCAGCCAAACCCATGGAAGCGCGCGGCTGTGAAGAGCTTGCTTGTGCGCTGGCTGAAGGCATGGTGTAGTAGTTGGATGGCCCAGCGGTGGCTGACGTTGGCATGCTCGCTTGATAAGAGCCACCGTTTGGGTTCGCGCCCCTGGGAGGTGCGCCCATGCCGCCGAGATTGGGAGGAAGCACAGAGGGAACCTTGAAACCTGGAGCGCCAATGGTGAATGGATCAAAAGTGTCGGCGCTGCTCAAGCTGTCGGTCAGGAAGCGGGTCTCGGATGCGTCGAAGAGGCTGTGCCCAGGGTGAGCTTCCGAGATGGCGTTGCCGTCATGATTGGGGCGAGCTTGCGCCACCTGCTCTGATGCCATGCTAGAGCTGGTCGCAAAGGGGATGTTGGCAGGACCACTTGTAGCGTGTTGAGCGCGCAAAGCCAGCGTTGCCATCGCCCCTCGCCAGACTTGATCGACGCAGCCCCCACCCGAAGCGGTTTGACTTGTAGCCCAGTGACGAGTGCTGCTCTCGAGTGCCAGGTGATGATGGTGCTAGAAGCGACGCGTCGTATGACCTCGCTCGTTGCAATGATCAGAGCTTCGTTGCTCGGCGAGCGTTGCGCACAGAAGACTTTGTGACAAAGTCTGGGGCCGGTGAGGTGCAAGCGGTGATGGGCAATGCGCGTGATTGGGCTGGTGATGGCAAGCTTGCTGCTGGGGAAGAAGCCAAGGTCGACCAGCAGGGCTAGCGCGTGTCCAAATGTCCGGATATCATGCGCGGAGGTCGAGATGGGTTGCGCGATGTGTGATTGCTGTGATTGCTGAGTGGGACGAGACAGTCAAAAGAGGCGGAGAGAGAGGAGGGAGAGAGAGGGCAAGGCAGACGGAGAGATGATACTTGCAGGGTAGGCAGGCAGGCAGACAGGCAGCCTCCTCCTCCTCCCGCCTGGTGCGAATCTCCAATCAAAATCAAATCAAATGCACCTCTCGCAGAGCGGGTCGTGGGGTAGAATCCAGCCAGCCAGCCAGCCAGCATTCTGCGCGTGTGATCACATCCGTCCCACACACACACACACGAGGAGGTCGCGCGGCACCTCACGAAAGCGGCAATTCAAGGTTACCGGTCATTCAAAGCATGCGAACAGCACAACATCCAGCACACCCACGGGACGGCAGCGGCAAATAGAAAAAATTGGATCAAATCTGCAGCCCCAGCTCACGGCGAGCGGGCGGGCGGGCGGCCGTCGCAGAACCGCGCGCGCTTGCAGCAGCGAGCATCGATGCAAAATCAAAGTTGAGTGAATGCTCCCGGGCTGGCTTGGCGAAAGTCAAGAGTCTTGAGTGGAGATTTTGTAGTCATGCAATACAAGTCTGAATTGAAATATTGTCCAAGTGCGACGCGCCTACTTGAACATTTTTAAGCCCCCTTCAACGATTGGATACGCCGGAGCAAATTACAAAAGCGGTGACATTCAAACTGACGGCTCAACATTGAATTTCTGAATTGAATTCTCGATTCAATATTCAAGCGCCGCCCTGGCCAAGCATCACACGCAAGACGCCATGCGGGCATGCATGCAGCTACAGTTTGAGTAGCTCCCTCGGCCCGCCCGTCTGTGAGCCCTCTGCTCGTCGTCCCGCTGCTGCATGCTGACCCGCTGATGGGCTATCACTGCGAGTCTCGAGTCGAGTCTATTAAGGCGGGTGCTCGACCCGCGAAGTCTTAAAAGTACAGCGTCCCACACATCCTGCGACAGCATGCAGCGCGCGCATGCAGCCCATTCTTGTTTGCATGCGCAAGGTTCAAAGTCAAGAGTCTTGATGAGTCTTGAATTCTGATGAGGTCTGCGCGGCGGTTGGTGCGAAGCGCCAAGAAGCAGGGGGCGGCGGCGGCGGCTGGGCTTCTCACCCAAGTCACGTGAAAATGATTGTAGTCCTACGCATGGAGGTCCGCAACGCGGCGCTTGGAGGCTTCTTGCATGGCGAATCATGCGGACGCATGGCGGTGCGGTGCGCTATCTTGCAATCAGCTGCAGCTCATCCTCGTGCTTTCGCTGCCTCTCTCTCTCCACCACGAGGTCGTTGAGCGCGCGTAGGATCAAGCAAGATTCACCAGGCGCTACTCAATGACGAGCAAGGAACGTGCGAGAGAGAGAGAGAAAGAGAGAGGGTCACAGTGCCTGGCGAAGAAGCTGCGATGTGCTCGGCCGGCTGTGTAACGACCACGCAGTTCAGAAGAAGGTTTGGGCGTAGCGAAGCTCAAGACTGGAGCGCAATCGTATCATATATATAAAGACGTGTGTAGTCTGGAGGTCTGGGGCAAGAGGTCGAGAAAACGATTCACATTCACAATCCGCCTGCAAGCGCACATTAGACCCGCACACCCATTCAATCCCCATCTTTCCCCCCTCCCTCCTCCCCATCTTCCCCCTCTCCCCTCCCAGCCCTGCACGCATCAACCACCACCTTTCGTGGAGCATGTTTCCTTTGAGCAGCGAACAGCATGACTTGCTCATCAAAGCGGCGCGCTTGCCGCAGTATCGCCCACCCAGACCCGATAATGCGACCATTGCTAACGGCATGTATGCACCTTAACTGCGCCCCGATGAGCTCGCGCTGAGGATGCTTTGCGATCAAGTGTTGGTGAGTCCACAACGCTCGGTTGAAAATCGCGACTGCGATTGGGAAGGCGCCGCCGAGGGTTATAATGATCGTTCCCGCGCTAACGATGTTACACCATACAGCCGCAAGATGCGCGAGCCTGCATCGATGCAATGGTCTCGAGACTGTGGCGAGAGGCTGATCAATGGGTCAGTGACAAGGGAGTCCCAAATGAGGAAAGGAAAGTCACCAATCCAGACAGCGGCTTGTCGGCTCGATTCAAACGTGATGTGGACACCACTGTTCCCAAGGTGGTGCTGGACATCGACGGACGCATCGCCTTGGACAGAGCCTGGCGGGTAGAGCAAGTGCGCTTCCTCCTGACGCTGGACCATCAGCTTAGAGGCAAAGCGTACTCAGAGTACGTCGAGCTGTGTCTGGCGTTTCGACAACGCACCCTTACAGAGGTGAAGAGCTACACGTGGTGCAAGGCTTGGCTAGTAGGTGCAGTGCAGAAGGAGGCCTCTGATTGGCGATCTGGTGCAAGACAGCTGATGCTTGTTTCTTCCACAGAAGGAGCAGTCTTTCGCCAAGAATGCCGCGGATGCTGCTGCATTGCTCGTCTACAAGGCATTTTACGCTTTTAATTCCGACTACACCACAATGCAGGGAGTGGAGATGTCAACGACAGACCCTTTCTCCGGAGGCCTTCGAACAGCGGACGAGGTTACGATGCTGGCCACTGTAGGAGGTATTCTGGAGAAGCCGGGCTGGTCTCAAAAGGTATTCGAGACCAAGATCACTGACAAGTGGAGGCAAGAAATGGCCGCGGACGATTATTCGGGTGAGCGAGGTTGATCGCAGGGAACATGACCCGTTTGCTGAATCAGACCCTCCTCGGTAGGGAGGATGATAGACTATGTCATTGCCCACGTCCAGTGGCTGGCAAAGGGAGCCCAAAGGGGCAAGCCAGAAGCCACAGGCGTTCCTGCGGTGTGGCGACTTGAACAGCCTGGTGGATCCGACCTGAGAACAGAACTATGCATCCAGGTTCAGCATCTCATCGAATCGGGCGACGAAAGAAAGGAACGAGACTGGCACCCCGGGGTGCGTGCGATGCTGTGCGCCGATCCTATTTGTCCGGGCTGATCCACACGCTCCCTCTCTCCAGTCCAACGAGCAGGTGCTTGACATCATTCATCCTTCCCTGTACCCGCTCGTAGATCAACGCTCTTATGTAAAAGCGACAAAGCTGGAAAGAGAGACGCCCGGAGCCCTTGAGATGCTTAAAACAGCTGCGACGCTGTTTGAGACAGGAAGAGATGGCGTGGATCAATTGAGCCCTTTGCGAGATTTGGCGGAGATTGGCAAAGATGACGGGGAGCTGATTGTCGCTGACTTGACTCTGCCAGTCACCAAGCCCAAGGATGTCTGGGACCATGAAGGGGAGCAAAATTACCAGTGGCTTCCAGCGGAAGTCCTGATCACGAACGTGCGCGACCATCAGACAGCAAAAATTCTCTCGTACATCAACAATCTGCATCCTCAACGTCATGCCAGCGTGTATGCGACTTTGGAAAAAGCTGTGACTGCCTTCGTCCCCCTTTTTGAGGCCGTCGTCGCCTCCTTATTGCGCGCTTCTCGCGATCGTCTCGATGGCCGCTGGGCCTGTGACGCTTTCCTCCCAGGAGTATTACAGCCCGAGCGCAAGGACTTTTGGGAGCCCATGGAGCTCGAAGCGAAGCAGGATGACACTACGCCTCCTTCGGGGCCGGCAGAGCCCTCGGACCCGGACGACAAAGATGCTTGGGACAAGTATGAGGAGCGTGCGGTGCGGTGGGAGGAGACGCGAAAGTTTGTGAGACCTGAAGTTGCTACTTGGAAGGAGCCCATTCCCGATGTCCCTGTCTCGCTTGCCGGACGCACGCTCCAAATCATATTTAAGATAGCAAGCGTGGAGCTCACGCCGGATAGACCAAAGTATGAAGGTGGCTCCTGGCACCTGGAAGGAACACGAAGGGAGAAAATCTGCGGTACCGGCATTTACTACCTTGAAAACGAAAACGTCACGACGCCAGCGCTGGAATTCCGGCAGTACGTCGATCCAGATTACCTTTCTCACGAACAGAACTTATATGACCATGTGAGATGTTTCTGGCTCGAGCACCTAGCAATTCGCTAACACCACAACTCTGACTCACCTTCAGCTCGAAGCTGTGTACGGGTTTGAGAACGATTCTACAGGTCAAAATCAGCTCCTGGGTCGCATCTCAACCTCGGAAGGCCGGGGCGTCTGCTTTCCCAACTGCTGGCAACACAGACTCTCGCCGTTTGAGCTTTCAGACAAGACCAAAAGAGGGCATAGAAGATTCCTGGTGATGTTTCTTGTTGACCTATTCGAACGCGTTCCATCCACCGCGGAGGTCCGACCTCAACAGCTCGACTGGCTGCTCGATAGCCTTAGCGAGCACAAGGACACACACATGGCGGCGTTGCCGGTCGAAGGCAAGTCTCAAGGTGCATTACATCCTGTGCAAAGCATCTCACAAGAATCAATGTCTCCGCTCATTCCATCAGTACAAACCCAGATCTTCAGGGAGATAGATTCGGCATGCGAGGCGAACGAATGGCTACCACTCGATCACGATGCCGATCGCTTCGAGGAGCGCAAAGCTTACTGCCTCAGACAAGCACCACAGGAATCATTGGATGGTGACTCTAAGGGAGAGCGTTTTCGGCCACCACGGCCTAACAATCTGCCTATGACCCGTTCTGAAGCCATGCAACATCGGCTGGCTCTGATGGCGCAACGCTCCGCACGCGCCTACCAGCAGAATGACGAATATGAGAATACGTGGAGCTTGTGCGAGCACTGAAGAGCATGTCGGCAGCAACGATGCGCTCTGCTCGCAGCGAATTTGAAGTCAACGTTTGCGAATTGGGATGCGCTATTGTCACAGGTTGGAGCCATGCGCTGGGTCTCGCGGAGGCTTCTGATTTGTTTGCTGCAGTACTTGCGTGCAAGACCATCTGACGTCCTCCAATGCTCTAAATGCGTACGACGCCCGCTATTCCTGTCTGCTCGCTGGTGTCTGAGGCAGCATCCAAGCCGCAAACAGACCGGGGCGCTTACACAAAAAGGAAGCGGATTAGCGAAAACTGTGATGCCATCTGCGTTCTTGTGCCCTGGATGGACGTTGGATTTAGACTCCGTAGGTGGGCCAACTAAGCACGCTTACGCCTGCATTGGGAGCTCTTTCACGAGAGGGGCAAGGAAGGTGGGCCCTGGCAGCATGCTGAGGGCGTATACCTCCAGTTTGATCTTCCCCTGTGTGTCACCTAGTCTTTTGAGCCAGTGGGAGAGGCGCCGCTTGGTAGCATCTTGCAGGAGCGCTTCTACGCTATCCTTAGGGAAAAAGATCATCTGTGCACCTGCAAGCAGATTGGACTGAAAAAGATGTCCAGGCGGTCGCAAAGGGCGTCTCCAGCAAGGTGAAAGAGGCTGCATCCTTCTTCAACAAGCTGCCAGTGTTGCGCGCCTCCACGCGCTGTACAAGGTGCTTGTTGACCTGGTGTCGTACTGCCAAGGCAAAGATGGTTGCAGATGAGAAGGACAATTTCTTCGATGATGCACAGCTTTTCTTGCCCCAAGTTGGTCTGCCCCGTTAGATGAAAAGGAAAGCTCACATTGCCACGACTCATCCACGATCCCACACCCTCCCCTCAGCATCATGTTCACACTCAGGGATTTTGGCCTCTTGCGCAACGTTGATACGATCGATTCTGACAACCTCCTGGTGGACAAGATGAGCCTACATGCATACATGCCATGCTCAAACCGGCCTGTATGTGCGGTGATTTGCAATCACTGACGCAAAATTTATCAATTCCACTGCTGCGTGCGCAGAATGGTGCATCTGTACCAGCCTTGGTAGGACCGCTGTATCAGAGCAACAGACTGGTCAAAGTCAAGGGTGGTGTTGGATTGGGCGTTCTCCGAGTATAAGCTCCATCCAGAATGCCTCCAAATCCAAAGGGCTGGCTCCAGGTCGCTTTGCTGCGAACCAGCCGAATCAAGACGGCGCCAACTTGGTCTTTTGAGCGATGCGCAAATTTTTTTGGGTTAGGTCATAGGCGATGCGGGTGGTCTGGCCAACGTAGATGTGCCTGAAAAGCTGAGTTGTGCCGGATCTGACCCTCGACTCGTCCCAGATGCGAGCTCTTCGGCGAGAAGCAAGCGTGTGCTGAGAGACGTAGTGCTAATGGGCAAGGTGACGCTCTGATTGATGGTTAGGGCAACGATATCGCGCGCATAGATGACGGTTTCGGAGCTCCTTGCAGAAAGTCGCACGTCTGGGAGCCACTTTGCAGCCTTATCGCGAGCAGGCTCGTCTCCCCGCGCAACCAAGATGTACTGGACTTTTGCAAGTCGAAAGTCCTGGGGTAGGGCAACAACCCCCAACATGACTCGCGAGCAAAAAATTGGATCTTCTCAATGGGGCGTGCCAAAGACTGGACCACGACTGGAGAAGCAAAGCCAATTCTGGACGCACTGGGAACCAGAGTTGATCTGGCAGCTTGTAAGACGGCTTAGCAGAGCAGACATTTTTGCTTGAGGAAGAGCAGGTGCAAAGGAGCCAGCTGGAGGGATGTTTGATGCATCTTGAGAGGACAAAGCGTGGGATGGCATGGTCTGTGGGGCAAGCAACAGCGCGGCAATGGCATTACCCATGGTAAGCAAAGTTTTCCGGAGATTGCCATCATGCTTGGCCTCTCCGCCACTGCTTTCTTCCAGAACCTTAGCCTGTTCAGGCATACTGGCATCATCAAGCGCTTCACCCACAGGAGCATTGCCTTGCAAAAGCAGAGAAGAGCCCTGACCGTGCTTGGACTGGCTCTGCTTAGATCTCGTACTGGATGGGAATGAGGATGGCTGAACAGTAGCTCTGACTTGAGAAGATGCGGAAGTCTGCGAAGGCTGCTGCTGCAAAACAGAGCTGTCAAGACTGCGTTGTTGGGGTAGCCCATGATGGCCAAGTAGCACCGCAAATGCCGATTGTACACACTTTAAAGGTTGCATGGGGTGAACAGTACAAGCACCCTTTTCAGCAGGGTACTGCTTTGGCCCCAGTGGAACAGATCAATGAGCAATGCTTGGCCATATATGCATGCTGTGACATGCTTATTGTCCCTTAGAGACACTGCCATCTTTGCAATGTGCTTCTGAAGCTCTGTGGACAGCTCCAAGAAAGACATGCAAGAGTTTCCACTCCTTGCTTGGCACCTGCCTTGGCAGCAATGCTCAACTCTAAAGGTTGTATGGCCAGACAACACTGCCAGACCGTCCATGCATTGATGGCTATTGCAGAGGGCAACAAAGATGAAAATTGGTTGATGGGTCTCTTCCGCAATGCATTTATGTCCAACACTTATGTTCAAGACAATATTGCTTGAGTGCGGCGTGGGATTCCACAAAGTTAGGGGACAAGAGAGCATCCTGAATGCAAGCTTGCCTTCACAAGCCCTGAACCCTTGGCTTTCAACGTTGACCAGGGAAATGTCCTTCTTGCTTTTGACAGGGGACCAAAATCTTTGCCACAATTGCGAGCGACAAACTGATGGGCAAAGTTTGTTGGCAGCAATGCTCAACTCTAAAGGTAGCATGGGAGTGCAAGTACCTCTTTGAGCAGGTAGTGCAAGTGAACCAGCACACTGTTTCCTTGTTCAGGAGCTGAGAAGCATTGGTCTGCACAAAGCTGCTGCCTGCAAACAAAAAGCAAGAGGGGTGAGCAGACATATTTGGAGTGCTTTAAATATACACACCACTCACCATTATGCTCAGTGTCTTGCCAAATGGCTGGCACAATCTTTGCAAAGTGTTGCTTGTGATTGGTACTCATTCTCCACGGCAGACCTGTCTTGTAGCCCTTGCTGTTCCTGTGGCTGTGTGCAGAATCGCCAGATCAAGTGCTTGGGCAAGACAGTACCTATCCTCAGCCACAAGCTGCAGCAACATTGCGAAGAATCTTGTTGATGCAGCTGCACACGATCCAGATGACTGATGTTGAGGTGAATTGGATCACAGGGGCAATAAATTGATCAGTAAATGCGCACAAATGACTGCATGAAGCAAAATCAAGCTATGATTGGGTCCATTGGGCCAAAAATTGATCACATGGCGTCAGGTGTAGCCTGGAACTGCTCTTCTTTGATCTGTCCTGTTGTACACTGTCTCATTATGGCTGTAATCCATGAGAGCAAGAACCCGCTGAAATGCTGCTGGCCCTTGCCCACAACCAAGACCAAAGAGCCCATAGTCATCATGGTGCTGGCTGCGCAGAGCCTTGGCAGTGATGTCCTTCATGACAATGACTGAGGGACATTTGATGCCGGTGCAACTGACCATGTCGTTGACCCTCTGTAGGGCTGCACGACATTGTGCAAACCGTGAAGGGGGCAAACGACACCGTGGATCAGTACCCTCTGCCGGACAACATTGTGCAAACCATGAGGGGGACCGGTCGTCCAAAACCCTGATCCCTCATGGGGCATCAGTGCGGCTGGCAGGAGAACCACGGTAAAATCTGTTGTGCATGCCTTGCACAGTCAACAAGGAACCCTGCCAACAACATGGAGCAAAAGACCACTCGCTTGCTCCAGACAGAATGCCTCTCAAACGCAACTTGCAGGCTCCTCCAGGCAAACATGCGTCACTGGAGGGGACTCACGGCCAAGGTCTTCTATTACAATCCATCCAATCCAGAAGCCCAAAGCCTGTGTCGCCATCACGACGACGAGTCCGCGCACGACACGCTGGACTCTGGTCAAGATGGTCGCTTGCTCCAGACGGAACACCTCTCGAACGCGACTCGCAGGCTCCTCCAGCCATGTTGTCTCATCATGGCTGTAATCCATGAGAGCAAGAAGCCGCTGAAATGCTGCTGGCCCTTGCCCACAACCAAGACCAAAGAGCCCACAGTCATCATGGTCCATGACCCTCTGTAGGGCTGCATGAGCGTCCAGCATTGAGCTATCCAGATGGCAGAGATGGGCATGGTTCTGGAGAATGAGGTTGCCAATGCCTACATTCACCTTGCCCACAGCAGGATGCCCATCTTGAATGCCAGCACTCTCAAAGAGCCACAAGACTGCCTTGCAGTGTTGAAGAGCAGGGTTAAATTGCACATGTAAACCACCCTGTGCTGAATTTAGGGACAGTGGACCTGCAACTTCCAGTCATCAATGACTGATGTCCAGAGGAGCTCAATGGTGTTGCAATCTTCATGCTTCTCCACCAGCGTACAGATGTTGCCATTGGAGCGCTTGTGCCTGTGCCCCATGTGCACAAGACCATAAGAGCACAATCTCTTCAAGAGTTTGCAAAGCCTGCCTCTGGCCCTGGGCCACCAAGTGAGCTCTTTTGCAGCTGTTGGAGACAGCGTAGCTGTTCTTGCGTCTTGACGGCTCAACATCTTCTCTTCTGTGCAACGAGACATGTCTTGGGGGAGATGCTGCACCAAGGCGCAATTGAATGAAGCCTTCCATTGTGCTCTTCTGTGCAACAAAACATGTCTTGGGGGTGCCACATGGTATGTGGGCTGAGTGCGCGTCCAGTCAAAGCATCTCCTTGCGCTGCGCAGAATCCAGCAGGATCAGTGTGCAAGGGCAAGATTTTAGACAAGAGCAAAGGTGCGTACTTTGCGCCTATATCAAGCTGAACCTACTCACCCTTGCCGACCTGCACTCCCTACAGAGCACCGCTCAGCCTGCACCAACCCCATCCCCCGCAACACCCCCTCTCTCTCAAGCCACAATGCCCGGCGAGAAGCCCACGGTACAGCTCACTTTCAGCAATCCAGCCACCACCACCCAAGTCACCCCCTTGCAAGCAGACCATCTGCTACGTTACCTGGCAGACCTTCGGGAAGTGAGGCATGCGTGGGTGCAAGTTGTACAGCAAGCTGAACTGACGCAGAAGTCCCTCGCTTTACAGCAAGACCGCTGACTGTTGTTGACCGCACGCAGATTGCCGCCACCAACTTGGCCAAGCGTCCACCCGCCGACACCCCACTCATTGGATAATTGTTGTTCAAGCGCGCAGGAGCAGGACCCGCGTTCGATGGAGCTGAACTTGGGCTTGGCATCTCTGACGACAGCAACAGTCCAAACAAAGAGATCTAAACACTTTGTCATGTACGCATACGCACATACGCGTATAACCCATGCACGCACGCTGGCCTCAGGTTCACTCAATCACGGTCCTGACTCGATCACAAATCACAAAACATGAATCATACATCGTGATACGAGCATCAGACACTCACGTGAAATGCGCGCGCGGCTTGTCAGCCCACACCTTTGCTGCATGCTTAGATCGAGAACGCTGCCATACGTGGGTGCAAGTTGTACAGCAAGCTGAACTGACGCAGAATTCCCTCGCTTTACAGCAAGACAAACAGCCACCCATCCCATCTGCTCCTCGAGCAGATCTCCGCCACTCTCCATATCCTCTTGGTGCGTCGTTGACTCCACAAACCTTGTCGTTGCCTTTTGCTCACTTGGATGCACCTCCTTCTCATGATTGTTGTCATCATCCATCATCACCATCTAGGTCCTCAACGTGGTCGCAGCGGCGCTCTTTGCAGCACCTCTTTTACACGCGGCGGATTTCTCCTTTGCGGCTCTTCTTGTGGCGTTGCTCCTTCTCGCTGCTCTTCTTGCGGCGCTGCTGCTGGTGTTGGTTCTGTTGCCTGGCTTCACGGGCACGCTCACGCTCAAGACGAGCCACACGCACGCTGTCATCATTGTCCTGGTCGTTGTGAGCGTGAGCGTGCCCGTGAGGTACAGCGCGCTGCCAAGCAAGGTGATGGTGAGTGGGACTGCGCCTGTTGCCATTCAGCAGGAAGCGCACACGCTGATTGTTGCGCTTTGACAGGCGTTGTAGAGGACAACAGCGACAGTGAGTGAGAGTTTTGATGGCCACATGACGTCTGAGCTGAACTGCATCTAGCGTCAAACAGGAATGGATGAAGATGAGCGTGAGCATTGCACCGTCTGCTTGTCAACACACTGCTCACACACTTGAACACTTGCGCAGCGACGGTAGAGACCAACAGCCCGGTTTGCCATTTGGTGCCTCTTTCTTTGGCGCGAGCCCCTCCTTTGCCGCTGGCCTCTTCTTTGCAGGTCCCTCCTTTGCCGCTGGCCTCTTCTTCTCAAGGTGCCTTCTTTCCTTTGGCTTCGCTTCGTAAGTCTTTCCTGTGCCTGCTTGCGTGCGCACTCACATGCCAGCGCTTACACATCTGTACGCCTTCATGCACGCGCAATCAACGGTTTGAATGCCTCTATGCATGCCCCCCCTTCGCCCAACGCCCCTCCCTCTTTCAGTGCTCCCCGCCCCTCCTCCAACGATGACGATGTAGACCTCATCGGCTACAGCAAAGCTGAGGAAATCCGCAAAGAGGCCGAGGCGCGTGAGCGCCAACAGCAATGATCAGTGGTTGATTGTGAGCAAGCGTGTGCGTGTGCTTGAGTGCGTGCGTGATTGCTTGCGCGTGTAGACGCGCGTGTGCAGTCTGAGTGGGTCGCGATCAGGCAGTAGAGGAAGCTACAAAGGGAATTGCAAAGTTTGAGAGCAAGGATAAGCTGCTGGCCAAGATGGCAAGTGATACTCTATCCCACTGCGCTTCCTGGTCAAGAAAAATTTCTTCCTGGTCAAGAAAGATTTGTGGAGGAGCACCAAGCTTTGGCGTGGCCTAATTGAAGCTCAGCTTCTGCAAGGCAGATCTTGACTTTGTCTGCCTGGCACTTGTGATTGTGCTTTGTCTCTCCATCAATTTCTACCACAAAGCAGGCAGCTCTTCTGAGGTTCCAAGCAGCCTTGGATTTGACAACATCTTGTACAGCAACTTTCACTTTCTTCTTCAAATTTGCCAGCTTGGGCTCTTCAGGAGCAATGAGGAGTGAGATCTGGGAATGCAAACAGTAATCTCAGCGCTGATCAAATACCTGCAAATTTGTGACTCACCTCAGTGCGGTCCTTGTATCGTGAGATGTGGGACCAAGATCGTAATAGACCTTGCTTGCTTCACACCTTCTGAGGCTCTGTTTGCGGCGGTCATTGTTGGCGCAAGCCCACATTGTGACGCGTTCTACCGTGGCTAGCCATCATGTCATTGGTGTTGGAATATGTAGTTAGTTATTATTCGGAAGCTTCGTGAATCGTGATCGCTTGGCAGAAGCCAGGAGCTGAGAACAAACAAAGAGATGATGGAGCAGGAACAAGAAATAATCAGCTGGGGGGTGCCCTTGTTTGTTGACAATCGAGCCACTGCTGCTGGATGATGGGTCTTGTGGTCTGTGATTGGTGCCAGTTGCTGATGCAAGCAAATGCATTGTGGGACTTGCTGACTCTAGGCGTGGTACCTGAAGACGGCAGAGGTGGATTTGTTTTTGGAGATGCTGGGAGAAAGAGCTAAGAATCAATAAAGAGATGATGGGACAGGAACAAGAAAGAATCAGCTGGGCGTTGCCCGTGTATCTTGCTTGCTAGACCTGTGCAACTTGACAAACGACAAGCCTGGACGTGCCTTGAGCGCATTCTATAACTGATTACGTGGGCTGGCCCTCGTCCATTGACTACAGCATCAAACCCGGCGCTCGAGCAGCTGGATTGCTGGAATGAGAACAACAGGACCAGCAACAGCAACGACGGCACCAGCACGGCAGAAATGCCTCGTGAGGCTGCAGCTCCTCGCCGTCAGCTGGCTACTCGGGCTCCTGGTCCCCTTGTTTTCCTTCGGCATCTTCTGGGCCACAGATCGCCACAACGGCTTCTCAGCCGCAGCGCCCTACCTTCTCTTCCCGCCCTCAGGTGGCGTCCAGTGAGGGCGCCCCGGTCGCTACGGCCAATTGACCGCGGCTGATCGCGCCGCCAGCAGAGATGATCTGCTAAAGCTAAGTGATTCGCACGCACCTATATAAAGGTGTAACTACTCACCCTTGCCAACTTGCACTCCCTACAGATCACCAAAGCACCAACCTCTTCCCCCACACGCCACAAAGCCTGTCAAGAGAGCAACTGTTCTCTTCGCGCTCAGTGAACACCTTGATGCATCAGCAGCAAAGTCGAAGACTGCGGTCGACTGCAAATTTGTAAGCACTTTTGCTTCGCTTTGTTGACGCTTGCTGACCGTGCTATTATTCACTTTGCCTCTAGCCTGCGGTGCCTCGCTTGATATCTGTCAAATTTGTTGATCGTGCTATTGTTTCTTCAATTTCCCTCTTGCAGACGTCTTCAGCGGCTTTGGTCATTCCCGACGTGCTAGCAGCATGCACCCGATCAAGCCCACTACTTGGACCGGCCGGATCACTACTTTGAACAGCTTCGACATGTGAAGAAAGGCGTGGTGTTAGCATAATTTACAACATGCCTGTCGGTCACTTTGCGCAGCAAATGTTCCACGTGGCTCAACAGCATTGAACGAGTCAGCTTTACGCAGTTTGCGAACATACTTCGGGAGCCGCGACTTGCTAGTAGCACACTGTTGGCCATCTTGAACGCGATTCGTGTCCTCAATACCCGAAGGCTAAATAAATGTAGCAGGCAAGCGTCGGTAGTCGCCTGTGCGAGACCGCCTCGAGCCGAGAAGGTGTTTCGTTTTTAGAGGGATGCGCTCTGAATTGAATCAATGCTTGTGATATTCATGATCCAAAGCACGGGCTAGAGGCTCACGTCAAAGGATTGGCTGTCGTCGGTGGGCCGCGAAGATATGCCAAAACTTCGCAAGAGAGAGCTGGAAGACATCGCCCAAGCAACTTGGCAGACCCGAATAGATCACGTACGCGCTGAGTGTGCATTTCGACCGTAGACGCGTGAAGGTTGAGGGCATGCGGACAAGTTTTTAAGGTTCCATAGACATAGGGACGCTCATTGGGGATGCTAGATCGGCAGAAATTTTTGCACTCAATAGCTTTGATATGCAAGAAATACAGGCGACTACGCGGACGAGATGAAAAGCAAACGCACGAAACAAGACTGTGAGCCTTCCATCCGGTGCCCTTTTGGAGTGTTCGGTCCATCCTGATTGTATGTAACAGCATCATCTTGTATGGCGGCTTTTACCTCCTTGTCAGGGTCTCGGCTGCATTGACACTAGAATTGAGAATCATAGAACGTTGATCTTGTCATGGCCTCATCCTTCCGGCTTTTTATTTCGGGTGGACCAGAACTTTGTGCTTATCCCCGGCTCCATAATACGAGTGGTCGCGAGAGCATGTGTGTGTTCTTGAGCGGATTAAATCTCGTAAGCTGTCCCCATGTCTGTAAGCAGCTTGTAACTTTCTTGAGCGCTTCAAGACATGCGGTGTGAAAGCACGTTTGATTGGTCGCTACAGACGCTTCGTTGCGATGGTGCGGCTCGTGACTTTACGCACACCCTTTATTTTTGCGTCACTCATACTGCAAATTGCGGCTTCAATCGACAAAGATCAATTTAGATGACATCAGAAAGCTCTGTTGTGCTGCAACAAGACGGTAAAGTCGTTGCTGCTGCTGAAAAGTGGAATCAGGTCGCCGCTAAGTAGGACGACGAAAATCGACAAGGCTCGGCTTGTACAGCATCAAGCAGCTTTCCGATGGCGTTGTCGGCGCTCCTTACCGCTCAAGCAACTTGTTCACAGACTGTCGGCTACCCTCGTCTGGCACCATCGCTGGATTGCTTCTCCTTCATTGAAACTGAGGGATAGATGTTTGGCTGCTTCTCGGTCAGCTTGAGCAGGGTCATCGCAGGGATTTGCAGCAACTCTCGCACGTGATATGCAGCTGTCTTTTTTTTCATTGTCTTTTCTTCACGCGTCTTTTGTGCGCTATGCGAAGTGCTCCAAGTGCTTGTTGTTACGGAGACCGTGTCTGAACAGAATCTTGTTCTAACATCATGGGGCCTGCCGTTGTTGAGTTTTGCAGCATTCTGATCTGATAGGAATCTTCGCTGACGTATAAGACACGGCTTCCATTTTTTCGGCCTAAAAGCAGGACTCTTTCATGCGATTGATGTGTAAAGCTCTGAACGGCAGTACGAAGTGCGTTCGAGAAATTCATGGTCTTTTTGTCGCGAAGTATGGACGCAAGTGAGATACTGGCGCCCGTTGACAAAGACAAATCGGATTGATCTGAGGCAGGCTTTATTGAGTCGAATGCGTTAGAAACATTGGTGAAGGCTTCTCTGACGGAGATGGGGGGTGTTCGGGTCAAACGAGTCAGACAGGCATGGCATGGCACGGCCGGTGTCGTCGGTTGCTGCAGAGACGACGTTTGCCGCGAACGCATGCTCTCGTCGTGATTCTCTCATTTAGTCCAAGCTCACGCTTGTCCGAGTGCAAGGATGATTGATGGGTTCAAGTCATAAATCGAAGAGAAAAATTCGACCCCTGTTGTTGTATGGGTCGCAAGAGGGTTTGGCTCAAATTGATTCATCGTGCGCGAGGGGAGTTGAGAAGCTCTCGCTGCTGCAATGATAAATTGTGAGTCAAATCAATGCTTTCATCGTTGAAGCGCATAGAGACGTCACATTTGGTGATAGGTTTTGCAGAGGTAATTTTTAGACCCGCAATTTGGACCCGTCTTGCTACACGAAATGTCAGACTTCATGCCACGCCAAAGTGACTTCACTGGTACTAGATACGCAGCCCACTGAGACTCTTCTTCGGTGGATGACAAAACATGGCCGGGATCAAACTTGGGAAAGGCTATTCCCTCGCTGTGATCAATCACCCACTGAGAACAGAGCTGGGTCTTGCGATCCTAAACTGGTCAGACCCAAGGCGCCAGGAGCAACATCTCTTAGGCAAGCTTGAGCGAGGCCCACTCTGGTTGGGTGACACATTGGGGTTTTGTTTGTTTTTGTTTTTTTTTTTCTTCATGGGGCTTTTTGCATTTGCAACGCCTTCGACGCGTGTGAGCTAATCCAAACTAGTGTTGTTCTTTCCCTATTCGAGGAAACGTGATTGGAGCAGCAAACATGTGCGCGTAGCCCCCAAAAGGGCTTCTGGAGGGCGACGTCGCCGTCCATTGAAGGCGAAGCTGCCTCATCTTCAGCTGTGGTGAAGTCAGCTTTGCAAACAGCCAGCTCTGTATTTACCAATGACTGGTCACAGGTGGCAGAAGAACGAGGAGCAAAAGAGTACCAGACTCCAGCGCTTTTCAAAGCTTCACACCACAACCCCATTGTTGCTTTGTTGTGCGGTCCGCCTCCCCAAGAGGGTGCGTCTGAACACGTATATTCTGTCACATTCTCATCGTGATTCCCTTGAAGCTATTGTTGGCTTACTCTTGGTCCACCTGTGCGCGCTACCTCGTCGCTCCAGGCGTGGGAGGAGAAGGTGGGGGAAGGAATGGGACCCCACTCGCAATCCAGCCTTGATGAGCGGCGCTCACTGCGCACAATCCGCAGAGACTGATGATGCGAGCCCAAACCTGTTTTTTTATTGATAGGCGTCGACCGGAAAGAAAAAAGTCTTTTGCTACCCAGCCAATATCCGCTCTACCGTGTACACACGACAAAGTACGCTGCTTATACCCTCTGCAAGTCTCCATGCTGCCTCTTAGGACGGAATTGTGACGCTTACACAACTGAGACGGCTCTCCGAACGATCACGACGTCGCGTTCTCAGGTCAGTATTCTCATCATGCAGGCGATACAAGACGCGTCGCAAACGCGAATTGAGCCACAGCAAGGTATGAGCTGGTGTATGAAAGTCAAGAAGTTCCACGGCTAGATATGAGAATTCTCTTTTTCGCCTTGAATCACAAAATTTCCTCCGGAGGTTGTAGCTTTGTGTCAGGCATTGATTTTTTCAGGCTCGTGATTTGCACGCGTGTCAGCGAGCTTCACAATGCAGGCCAGTACATTTTGGAATCTGCTCTATTGGAACATTGGAAGACTCCGTCTGTGATGTGGACAAGAGCAATTCCCGCTCAGTCAGTCCCATAGGTCCACTCTGACGCTGCTGTAGGCGTCTGAGCCGGCCCCGAGCAGTATAACCACAAGTCGAAATTTTCTTCATCTCCTTCGCCCAAGGGTGCGATGATCAGATGCAAGTGGTCACCATCTGAGGCGATCACAATGTGATTGGGCTGTGATTGAAAATCCAGACGTCCGAGTTCTGACGACGGGAGCAGCTGCAACGCGTCGATGAGCACACCCATTCGCCCTCCGCACAGCTCGCGAACGTGGTCGTCAATCCATACGCTCCAAAGAAGCAGACGGGATGCTGTGGCATGAGAAGCTTTTGTGCTCAGGACGGGTGCTTCGGCCTCTTCGGCACAGAACTGCAACACTGCGGACTTGACGACGCGCAACTTTTCCACTTTATCAGGATACGCGCAAAGGGGTTCTTGCTCCTCGTGACAGATGGATTGCTGGGTATGCGAATCGAAGTGTCGCGTCCAAAAGGTCGCCAAGTCGCGACCTGTTTCGTAATGTGGTGCAGTCGATTGACGCTCGGACGGGCCAATGCTCGACGCGCCGTGCTGTAGCCTGGTTCGCAGGGTGGAATGATCGTTGCGCTCGAACGTAGCGCCTTGAGTTGCGAATGTGATGCCCTCACTGGAATGGAACCCCACGGACCCCACGCCGCCGAAGCTGACGGTGTAACCGTGCTCAGAGGCCACACCCTCGCAGTAATGCTGGAATTCCTGTGATGTCCATCTGCAAGGAAGAGCGACGGGACATGAGCAGATCGCGCGGACGTTGGCGTCGGACATCACCGCTGTACGCACTCGAATTTGTGATCGTCGTGTCGGAAGCGTCGGTCAGTTCGACCTGTAGGATCAGGAAAGCCTCCTGCTTGAGAGGTTGCATTCTCCCATTCGGGGTGGAAGTTGAGATTGAAATTGTAGTCTGGCGTGGTGATGATGAGCAACTTGGGCTTGTACATGCCCAATAGGATCGGCGCAAATTTGCTGATGTCTGCGAGGTGCTCGATGCTGGAGCAGTGGACAAGTGGTTGGGATGGGTCGCTGCGCTGGACGGGGAATGCAAAGGTGACAGAAAACACTCACACTTCTGTCGCGACGATGGCATCGCAGCCGACGAGTCTATGGTCCAGCGTCTCGAAGGTGCCGTGTAGCAAGTGAACAGTGAAGGGCATCCAACGAGGCATGGGGCGATACCCTTGCGCAGCCAATATAGCTGTCCTTGCGGCTGCGAGAGCGCGCGCATCGATGTCGACGCCGATGAGCGAGGTCAAGCAGCTCAGGTCTGCATCCGAGTAGATCCAGTGGTGCGATGGCAGAGGACAAGCGCCACGAGTCAGGCTGGGAAGACGGTGCAGTGGAAAGACGTCTCGTTGCAGCGGTGGTCGGCAAAGGGCGGAGAGCAGGGTGCCTTCGCCGCAGCCGATATCGACGATCTGGCGCAAAGAGTTGAGTGACGCATGGTGAGCAGGGATGGTGGGTGAGTGGAGGGACAAGGGTTCAGGCGGATGTGCCGTGCTCACCGAGCTTGGTTGATGTTTGCGCAGCAGTTCGAGGATCCAAGCTTGTCGCTGCGGATGAGTCTGGAGTGTTAATCTTGAATGGCACAGCACCGCGGCCATGCCTGCATGCATTCCCCCACCACCACCACACCCACCTGCAGCCACAAGGGCGGATCAAAGGTGACCATGACTGTGACTGACGGCGTGCAGCCTCAAGCTTGAGCTGCGTTTTGCTCCTCATTCGACGTCAAGAGAATCTAGCCATTCGTGATGCTTGCTTGCTCTGAAGGTGCGGTGTGGCAGTGGCAGTTGTAGCAGCGCAGTCGATGAGGAAGCGTATAATCACGATGCCCGCATGCATGTGCGCTCAGTCACGCTCCTTGCGATATCGTGAGCAAAGATGTTCGTGAGATGGGTGCGCGGGTGGTCGTCGGACTGAGCTGCTGCGATCGCAATTTAAAGCAATTCAACTCAAGACTTCAGACTCGACTCACATTCTGCTGAAATGGTGTATTGTTGAATGACGAAGATTGGATGCAAATGACTCGCGAATACAACGCTCGACGCGTGCAGGCGTATGATTCTGACTTGACAATCTTGAATCGAGATCTGTAAATCGGAAATCTTCTTATTTGGGACCCGCGAACGCCATCTCCTCGCGCATCTTTCCCTCTTGTCTTGTCGTCGTCCAGCTCGCCAAGCGCCGCTGTGGCCATGATCTACGACTGCGATCTCCAGTTTGAGTCTGAATCAGTCAAGTCGTTGGTGAGTGAATCATCAATCACTTTGACCCGTGACTGAGTTGGCCAACACGCGCGACCGAACGACGGGCAATTAAGCTCTAAATCGCGTCACGTGCTGCATGCATGCTAGCTATGCGTGCAGATCCTTGCCCGCCGCGGAACGGAACACCGCGGGTATGAAAGCAGCTTCAATTGATTTAGCGTGTATGCGCGGGTGCGTGTGAGAAGATCGGTGAGGGGAGGGAGGGGCAGAGAGCGCGGGAGGCAACAACAGGCGGCAGGCAGGCAGGCAGGCAGCAAATGCAAATCGATTCAATCACGAATTGAGCGAGCAATTAAGTCACAGTCACAAAGAATCACAACAATCTTGAATCTTGCAATCCAAATCCATCAACACCGCGCATGGCGCCATTCATGGTCACCTTTGCCATCCCCCATCACCACACGCTCGCTCGGACCACACACACACACAGCCATCCACCACCACCACCACCACCACCACCACTCTCTAGCCCCGCCTCTCCCTCCTCGCCGTGCCATCACAATGTCCGCCTCTTCCCCTCGCGACAAGTTTCTCGCCCTCTTTCCCAAGCTCAGTCAGGAGCTGCTGGCCTATCTCCGCGCAGAATCCATGCCAGCCGAGGCAATCTCTTGGTTCGAGCGCAATTTGCAGCACAATACCCCAGGTGGTAAGCTCAATCGCGGCTTGAGCGTCGTCGACACGGTCGACATTCTGCTCTGCACCGACGAGCAGGGCAACAAGGTCAAGCAGCTGACGGAGCAGCAGTGGGAGGATGCTGCCATCCTCGGTTGGTGCATCGAATTGGTGAGCAGTCAGGTAGTCGATCACGTGGGCACGGGCATGGGCATCCCCCCCCCACTCACGCACATCTCCAGCTGCAAGCTTACTTTTTGGTGGCAGACGACATGATGGACGCTTCCCTCACTCGTCGAGGTCAACCTTGCTGGTACCGCGTTCCAGGCGTGGGAAATATTGCCATCAACGACGCATTCATGCTCGAAGCTGCCATCTACCACCTCCTCAAGCTGCACTTTAGGGATCGTCCTTACTACGGCCACCTGCTGGAGCTCTTCCACGAGGTCACCTTCCAAACCGAATTGGGTCAGCTCGTTGACCTCATCACCGCGCCAGAGGATGACGTCGATCTCAACAGGTTCAGTCTCAAAAAGTAAGTCTTGCGCGTGCGTGCGTGCGTGCGCGCGCGTGCTTCTTCTCGCCTCGCTGTTGATGTCCCTCCCCCTTCACCCGCTTCAGGCACCACCTCATCGTCGTCTACAAGACGGCCTTCTACTCCTTCTATCTCCCCGTCGCCCTGGCAATGCGCATGGCGAGTGGGCGCAGTCGCGGTTGTGCTCGCAATCTGCCCTCAACACTGACTTTTGGATCTCCCCCCAACAACAGGTCGGAATCAATGACGAATCGCTGTACAAGCGCGCGCTAGACATTCTCTTGCCGCTCGGAGAGTACTTTCAGGTGCAAGACGACTACCTCGACTGCTACGGCGCTCCCGAGGTCATTGGCAAAGGTGGGAAAGGGGCTGCGGCGGCGAATAATGCCAGAGCGACTGACCGGCTGACTTTTGATACTTTCACCGCAGTCGGCACCGACATTCAAGACAACAAGTGCTCCTGGAACATCAACATTGCGCTAGAAAACGCATCTCCCGAGCAGCGCGCAGAGCTGGACAAGCACTATGGCCAACGCAACAGCGATTCCGAAGCCAAGGTCAAAGCAGTGTTCAGTGCTAAGAACATCGACGTCGAGGGCAGGTTCAAAAAGTACGAAAAGGAGTCTCACGAGAGGCTTACGGAGCTCATCAAGGAGCTGCCGCAAAATGTCGGTGCGGGCGAGAAGGGCATTGGTCTGAAGCGAGAAGTATTTACCAGCTTTTTGGAAAAGGGTGAGTGCAAGATCATTTGTGCGCCCGCGCACAGAGCGATGCTGACCAAGTGCGAGCCTCGCGCGCAGTGTACAAGCGCACCAAGTGAGACGAGAAGAGTGCGTGCGCGCGGAGCACGATTCGATCATGTGTTCGTAGTAGAGCGATGAGCGATCAAGAAATCAGACCGTCTGCCGCCATGCTACCTTGCGCGCACTTCTCCGACCCGCAGATGATGTCTGATCTGATCGTATTTTGAAAGTGTCATGTGCGCATGGTGGTGTCAGCCTGGCTAGTCTCTCGCAAATAGAAGCAGAGAGGCGGTGCGGTGCACAGGCCGAGGAAAAAAGTACAGTGACTGGGTGCGAGGCGTGTTGGGGATGAGCATGACGAGGATGTGCGAAGGCGGGACGGCGCAGCGCAACACATCAAGCCTCGACCTCGACGATGGTGCTCTTTTGGGCACAGTAGATGCCGTCCAAGAACTTTCGGATATCCTTGTTCTTCACCAGGCACTGTCCGTGGAGCAGAGCGGCGGATTGAGAAACGGCCTCGATGTCGTTGCCCTCGACCAAGACTTGGTCCTTTTGTGCAGGGTCTTCCCTGATAGAGACACCCTCCGCCATGACTGCGTGACGAACTCGCTTCTCCCCGAGGAAGTTGCGCACCTCGCAAGACTTTTTGTCGCCAGCGACGATGACTGGAGAGGTAGTGTACTGATCAGCACGGCGCTTGCAGAGTCGAAAGCACAATCTACAGCGACTCACTGTTGATGGGGAAATGTGCGTAGACTGCACGCATCTTGTACTGTGGGGCGTCGCGAGCAAGTGCCTCAGACGCAATCCTCCAGCCCCAATCCGCCTCCGCACCCCACTCACCTGGAATCCCACAGTCACACCCTTGATCATGTTGGCAAAGACTGCCTTGGCGGTACGCAGGCAAGCAACGTGCTTGCGTGCTCCGTGCCACACGATGAACTTGAGCTTTTCACCCTTGCTGCTCTTGACATGACGAATGTCCATGGCCATGTGGCGCACATCCTGTTGCGACGCGATGCAGCAGAGCGTCAGCAAAGCTTGCGCGCTATGTTCTGCGCCCTCGACATGCCGCACGTGTCCTCCTTCTTTGCGTGCGATGCCCAACTCCCCGACCGGCCCAATCTCTGATCTCCTCCACTTCCCTCTAACATTGTACTTTCGCCGCTCTCTCTCCTCCGCGTGCTCATTGCTTCTTTTCGCAGGCGCGCACTGCTCCATCACATGGCAGCGTGTCCATCAACGCACCTTGGTGAGCTCTCCGCGAGGGCCCTTGACGGTGGCCTTGCGGGAGTGGAGGGTGACCGTCACCTCCTTGGGGATGACCAGCTCGAGTTCCTTGTAGATTTGAAGCATCTTGTGCGCTGTGTGTGTGTGTGTGTGTGTACAAAGCGAGAGCCAGACGGTGTCAGCTTCGCGCAGTTCGAGGAGCGCCTACATGCGCGCTGATGTTTGAGTCTGCAGTCTGATGGCCGCCATCGATGGTGCCGCCTCCTGCTGCTTTGAATCACAGCCTGTACGACGCTCGATGCAGGCTGCAGTGTGCCAACGAAACGAGCGCCACGAGCGGCCCTCGACGCCAGCATCCTCGTCATCGTCATCCGTGCCTCTTTGCAAACATGCCTCGATCTACATTCCTGCCGCACCATCTCCTCTTGATGTTTGCAATCTGCCTCCGCAGCCTCATGGGCGCATCCTCCTACGCTTCTAGCTACTCCACCCATGGCACGAAGAGACGCTCATCTGGAGGAGCATCTGCTGCGTGCGCCAGCCGTCCACCTCTCGGTACGCCCTCTCAGCTCTTTAGAGCGGGATGGCGGGAGAACTCTTGTCTGATCGCTAGGATGCCGAGAAGGTGGGAGAATGTGATGGACCGGGAATACTCACGTTTCTTGAGGTGTGCGAGGTGGGTGAATGGATGAGGTAGGGAAGGTTGAGTGGTGGTAAAGCCCATCCAAGTCACGTTCGACTGCAGATGGCGCCCGCGCGGCTGCTGCTGCTGCCTCCCTCGCATCACTTCTGGACTTGGATCGTTGCCCGCGCTGCCGCGTGCGCACCGTCCCTCGACCGCGACTTCTCCAAGGCTTGAGCGTCAGCTGCGGCCTGAAAACGCGCCTGAGTGGTGTCCTGCCGCACGAGAGAGGCGCGCGCCCCCGGAATGCAGATCAGATCTCCCACGTGGCGCGCGTGCTCTCGTCTGGCAGAGGCGGCCGAACACCCATGCACGTGACTTTCATCTGAAGAAAGCCGCGCGCTGACGATCACACCCACCCCATCGCGGCTACACTCAAGACTCGCTTGGTGGAGCGATGCCTTCAACGAAGCGCGATTGGTCGCTCGTCGCTCGCGTCGCTCGTCGCTCGTCGCTCGTCGCTCGTCACTCGTCACTTCGCATCAGGACTTGACGACTTTTTGAGCAGCGCTCCACGTCTCTCTGCCTTCCAATCAAGAGTCAGCGTCACCAAGAGCCCCTCGCTGCACACGCCCAGCCTTGCTCAAGATGCGCGCATCCACGTCCAGTCTGGCGCCATTGATGCGCAATCTCTGCATCTCCACCATCCCCACCCCTTCACGCAGCGCACGCATAGCAGTCATCGCAAAGAAGCAGCAGCAGCAGCAGCAGCAGCAGCAGCAGCAGCAGCAACAGCAGCTTTCCACCTCTGCGAAGCGCTGGGAAGCCGAAGCGACTACGGCGGCGTCGACATCCATCGCCAGTACCTCAGCGTCAGCGTCAACGTCGCAAGCAAGACGGGATGGGTTTGTCGGACCGCAACATCGCGCTCCAGGGTCCGTGCATGGCGCGAGCAGAAGTGAGTGGCGAGGTCAGGTCAGGTCGAGTCGAGCATCGCTTTGTTGAGCACTCGCTCACACACAACACACACACACACACACTCACACAACCGCAGGCACCGAGTACCCCTTTTCTACGTCTGCGCGGGTGGTGGAGCAGGTGGAGGAGGTGCCGGCATACATCACGCCGCCGCCTCTAGTCAAGTCGGTGTGGCAGGGCAGCATGGACACATTCGTTGCGGATATGAGGGCATCGTACGATCCGACGGGCGAAAAGTCTGCCCTCTTTTCTCGCAAGTCGCGGCAGAATGTTCCTGCAGGCAGCGTGGTGCTGGTAGAGACGTGGAGCAACAGCAGCAAGACCAACTCTACATCCTTTAGCGGCGTCCTCATCGCCGTTAGGAGGCGCGGACTGAGCACTTCCTTTGTGCTGCGAACACTGGTCAACAAGCTGGGCGTGGAGATGAGGTTCAATCTGTACAGCCCGCTGCTCAAGCAGATCAGGGTCATCAGCCGCGCAGATGCCAGCAAGGCTACTCGCACGCAGGGCAGCCTGAGAAGAGCGCGCAGGGCAAAGCTGTACTTTTTGCGCAAGGACGATAGGCGCATCGCCGGCATCAACAAGGTGGTGCAGGCACTCAGGCTGCGCGAGACTCAGGCGCAGAGGAGTCCGGGAAGCAGCAGCAGGCGCACGTCGACCAAGTGAATGAGCAAGCAGCGTGCACGCGCATGTAATACATTGTGTGTGTGTGTGTGTGTGTGTGTGTGTGTGTGTGATGACCAGAGCTGTTCGCATGTGTGTGTGTGTGTTTTTCGGCGAGCACACGTGACTGGCTCAAGTGAGGATGGCAAGTCTGGCGGATACTTCTGCTTGTGCACGGACGACGTTGGCGAGGTAAGAGATCATGAGCACATCCTGTGAGGGGCGTGGGAAGAGCACGTCAGCACGAGCGGTAGGCAACGTCAAGCACGTCAGCACGAGCGGCAGGGAAAACGTTCTCGCCCTCGCCCTCGCTCACCTGGAGATGGCTGTTGAAAAGCGATTCGAGCTGTGATGCACCGTCTTGGGTTATGGCGCTGGAACTGCTGATGGGAACGGTGGACACCGCATCGATGACATACCTGCCCACCACCGGGTCGCCCTTTCTCTTTCCGTCGATGACGTCGCGAACGTACTGCAGTACGCGGGTCAGCTGGCTCTGCACTTGTCTGAGTGAAGCTGCTAGCGCGTCCATGTCCGACAGCATGACACCTCCTCCGTGCTGCTGAGGCGCGGTGGTGCTGGCCAGCAAGGAGAGGGCAGGCTTTTCGGCCAGCGAGGATAGGAGGGTGACGGGAAGAGGCACAAACACCGCGCTCTCTGCTTTTGGTGTGAGTCCGAGGGGCGCGCTGCGTGTGCGTGTGCGTGTGCGTGTACGCGCAGGTGTGCCAGCGGGAGTGAGCAAGATGCGCATACATACATGGGTGCGACGTTGCGGTGCTGCTCACCTGACGTATGCCTTGACGCCCGTGTTGGCCTTGGCGACATCCGTGTCGACTGTGAGGTGCACTGCCTGGTTGGGCAGCGTCTCGCGAGAGTAAAAGTCTTGAATGAGGGAGCTGTACGTATTGAGCGATGGGCCTGTGGCGTACCTACGCGGCGCGGACGCGGACGTGGACGTGGACGTGGATGTGTGTGTGGGTTGCGATGAGCGGCGCTGATGGAAGTGCGTGCGCGCGCGCGCTCCAGAGCGACTGCCCGCCCGCCCCACCACCACTCACCATCCGACGATGATCTCTTCCGGGTTGACGCGCTGGTGCAGTTCGAGCATCTGACGATGGTAGTCCATGTCCACCTGCACCAGCTCGTCCGTCTCGTGGTGAGGCACTGCGAAGCAATTCCTGATCTCCACCTCGTTCTCTACGCGCGTGCCCAGCAGCGTGCCGATGACCCGAGTGGGGTTCGCCGCAGTGGTGCTGCTAGCAGCAGCGGCAGAGGGCTTCGATGATGGTGCTGCTGGTGCTGCTGTTGCGCCATACTGATCGCCCGCGTCCTTTGGCGCAGCGGGTTCGGGGTCGCTGCGACGGAGGTAATGGTCGAGGATGCTGAACAGGGCGACTGGATGCACGGATACGCGGCTGGTGGTGCGCGATGTGGCTGCGCTGTTAGCTGGGTAGCTGATGTGCAGCGCAGAGGAAGATGTACCGTCCAGCGTCATGTTGGGAAGACGCGGGTGTGGTGTGTGGTGTGTGGTGTGTGGTGTGTGGTGTGTGGTGTGTGGTGTGAGGGTGAGGATGTGTGAGCTTCAACGTTGGCGTGCTCACTTGCTGCGCCTTGTGCGTGCGCGTGTGCGTGTGCGCCCGTCTCAACTTTCTTCGCGGCTGCTTTGCTTGGATGCAGCAGAAGAGAGAGCTTCTTGCACGCACGCACGCACGCACGCACGCATGATGGCGGGTCACGTGTCGTGGCGATGTGTTGTGTGGGCTAAGCGCGACGAGAAGCAGCGGCAGCAGTCTTGAGTCAAGAGTAGCGGTAGCGCGACACTTGGCAGCCGTGCATCCAGGCAGCGCGCGCGAAGCGAATGGCGTTAGTCTTGAGTGCAGCATCACATCACCAATCACGTGAATCGTGAATGCCATGCAGATTCGCATACAGCCAGCCTGCCTCTATGGTAGTAGTGACACGCAACCACCACTCCGATCCGTGACTCGTGCCCCGTGCCTCGTGACTTGTGACTCGGACTTGCTCATACCTTTCTCGGCCACTCTCCCACTCCACTCCACTCCACTCGACGCGACTCGACTCGACTCGACTCGACTCTCTGATCGACGAGCATGTCTTCACGACGACCCACGCATCGCGGACCTCAGCTATCGCTCTCCGCATCGATCGACTTGGATGTGGAAGGCGGCGCGAATGCTAGGCTGGACGAATCTTACGATGCGGGTTGGAGGACGGAGGATTTGCCATGGTCTGCCAAAGGTCCAGCTAGCAGCCTGCCCTCATTGAATATGGTCGAGAGCGCCAAAGCTCACCTCAGCTGGGCCAGGGATGGATGGGTGGACGGCATGCGCTGGTCAGAGGCTGCGCGCGTCATTCGCAGGTGAGATGGTCGCGGCGGCCTTGCAGAGCGGGTGTGGGTGTGTGGACATGGGTGTGGACATGGGTGTGGACATGGGCATTGGCATGTATGCAGCGAGCAACAGCAGCAGCAGCAGCAGCACGACGCTCGCAACAGCAACACGACGCTCACAACACGCGCGCCGCCTTTGCTCCCCCCCTCTCCACCAAGATCGCCCGACGTTCGCAACGGTCTGGCCAAGGGATCCATCTTGTCCCTCGCAGTCGTCGGCGCCATCTTCTTCTTCGAAATCGCATTCTTTCCCTCGCACCTCTTCCAAAGGCAGCAGGGCGAATCAGCGACGGGATTCGGTCATGTGCGTACAGGCCAGTATGGGCAAGCTGACTGCGCTGACTGCGCTCACTCGGCTCACGCATCTCACACTTCATACATGCAGGTCTTTTTCCTCTACCCGCTGCTGGGGCTGTGCTACTTTTTGGCTGCCAGCTGGACTGTGGATGTGGCCAATGCAGTGTACGCCATTAGGAGGGGCAATGTTGGTCATCTGCGAGGAATGAGCGTTGGCGTGGCCGATGCCGTCAAGCTGCCAGCGGGGTGAGCGTCGGATAGTGACCGAAGCGCCCAGTCGGCCGTGGGCCATGTTGACGGCGCTCAATCCCTCACGCAGCACATCTCGACGCATCTTGGAAGAATCATATCGCGTCATCTTGGTGCTCAACTACGTCCTCATTTGCTACCTGCTCGATCTTGTGCCGTACATTGGCAGACCGTTGGCCTTCTTCTTCATGGTGGGTTGGGCGGCGCCCGCACGCGCGTCTACACTCCACAGCTCACATCTACGCACTGCACTCGCACAGAGCTTCATAGATGCTTACTATTGGTGCGTGCCCGATGCTGAAAAGTACAGACGAGCCAAACGCCCACTCATACGCGCCCACTCTGTGCAGCTTCGAACAAGCGTGGATCGCACGCGGATGGAGTTTGGATAGGGTGCGTGAGGCGTAGAGTGGCAATGAGGACGAGCAGCTAAAAGTCGCCTTGACCCCACAGAGGATGAGATATGCAGAGTCTAGGTGGGCCTACTTTGTAGCCTGTGAGTAAGGCGGCAAGGCATTGCCCAGAACGAATCATTGACACGCGTTCCCCTCCCTCCTCAGTCGGACTGCCCTCCACACTAGTCAGCTTTTTCCACCCCAGCCCTTTGCTCAACGTGATGCTCTTCATGGTCTGCTTTCCATTTGTGAGTGTGTGTGCGTGGGTGCGATTGCGCGGCCGCAGAGTCTTACTCGCATGCCCCGGTAGTGCACCGTCCTTGCCATGCTCGCATCGCCCCAGCCTCGTGTGGCACCTACGGGCGGAAGCGCAATGACACCAACGTCTGCCGGAGGTGCAGGAATGTCGGGAGTCGCGCAGCTGTCCAGACTGCTGCCCCCTCGATTGCCGATATTCTGGTTGACTATACATGCTGTGAGTGGGCGTGCGCATGTGCATGCGCGCGAGCGTTCCAGCTCACGCGGGAGCGAAATTACTTTTTCAGCATCGATTACTATTGAAGGCCTTTCCACCGCCACCGGAGAGAGGCTACGTGCCGCCAGTGCCGAATCGTTGGGGCAATTCGCGCAATGCCACTCCTGCGAGTAGGATGTACGGTGGTGTCGGAATGGGCATGGACTCGACTTCGTCCGGCGTGGATGGACGCAGAAGCGCAGCGCAAGTTGTTGGAGGGGCGTGGGGCGCGGCGCCAACAGCAGCAGCGAATGGGGCCGCGACGCCCCCACATGCGAACGGCGCTTCGCCCTTTGTAGCAGCACCGCATGTCAATGGCGCGTCGCACATCCCACCGCCGCCAAAGGGACCACCGAGGTTGACGCCAGGCAAGAAAAAGGAGTGAAGCGATGCGAATATATGCGACATGTCCTCTATGTGCGCGCTGTCAGGAGTGAAGCGACGAGAATGACTGCAACGTCTCGTCTACGTGCGCGCCGTCTTGATCGCTAGCCCATCGATGCTAGCCCGGATGCACCTCTGCCATACCTCGGAGTAGTCGTAGCCTCCTGCTCTGAAACGACTGCCCGCATCCCCGTCGAGCTTCTCCAGCGCCCATGGATCGACGTAGCCTTTGCTGACGTCCGGCCCGCCGAGGGATGAGGGAGCGTCTCGCAAGTCGTACGCCCAACTGCAGTCGTCCAGCGTGGCTAGCGGTGCGGGCACAAAGTCCCAAAGCGATTCGACCAGCCACTGTTGGCGGCTTGGTGCAGCAGCGATGGACGTTTCGGAGTTGCCAACAGCAGCTGCCGCAGCATCTTGCACCTTGTGACGCTCCTCGATGAGCTTCTCTTGCCTCTCGTACCTGCGCGCAACGTCTTCCCGCCTGCCCCTGACGTCGATGCCTCTGGCAATATCATCCGCACTAGACTCTTGAAGCGCCTGCAATTGCTGCTTGTACGCATCGTGCCTAACCCTCCTCTCGCGAGCTCGCTGCACCTGCAACGCTTTCAACGCGGACTCTTGCTGGCGCTGCTGCTCCGATGCGGCTTGCTGAGCGCGAACGTTGGAGGCAGAGGAAGACTTGTTGGCGGATTCGTACGCTGCCACGCGCGCCTCTGTGGCTGGCAGGTCCACCTTGTGGATGATATTAAAGGCTGGGCCAAGGGGCGTGTCAGCGCGCACGCGCACGCGCACGCGCACATTCACCCGTGCACTCACTCAACGTCTCGACCTCTTCCAGGTAATTGTTGTAGCTTGTCAGCGTCGAAAACTCGTCGCGCGACTTGTTGAAGCTGCGCGGGAGAGGAGGGGGGACGAAAGGATGAGCTCGTGTATGCGCACCTGACTACACGCGCCGAGCGCGCTGGCCCTGATCGCACACGACCCGCACGCACAGCTTGCCGAGCCTCCTGCGAATGTCGACTTCCCTCTCGATGCTGAGATCAGCAAAGGTCTGACTGCCAAACTGGTTCTTTCTGCACACGTGACCGCAATCGGGACAGGGAGCAGGACCCAAGCTGAAGATGCGGTCGATGCAGGATTCGCACATTTTGTGGTAGCACGGCGACACGAGCAGTCGTAGGCGAGGATTGAGGAATCGATCTGTGCGACAGATTGGGCACTTGTCCTCTGCCGACTGTGGGTGGAGGGGGGGGATGCGAGTGAGGGGGTGTGAGCGACGTGAGCGATGTGAGCGATGTGAGCGACGTGAGCGATGTGTGAGCGTCATCGCCGCCCGCCGATCACTCACGGAGAACTCGCCTACGCGCCCAGTGGGATCCTTAAAGTCCCTCCTCACACCGCCTTGCAGAAGCTCGCGCGTAGATGGTTGCGAGTAGATGGAGGATGCGGCAGCGGCAGCGCTGTTGGCATGATGGGCGCTGTTGGATGGTCTGGACGAGTCTGAGGCAGGGTTTGCAGAAGGTCTGCCGCTGGTCAAGGGACGACCCAAGGCGCGACCACGGCGCGACATGGTGACGGGTGGTGAGTGTGGGGTGAGCGATGGGTGAGGGGTGGGTGAGTGGAGGGTAGTTGCGAGTGCGAGTGCGACTGCGACTGCGAGAGCGAGAGCGAGCGTCCGACGACATGGCGAGTCGCGAGTGTGAGTCGCTCGACTCGCTTCTCTCTCTCGCGTGTCGTGTCGTCTCTCGCTCTCTCTCTCTCGCTCGGCCGTACATGCGCGGGGGTCTGCTACGCGCCGCGCCTCCACTCACTCGATGCACGGCAACTGGCTCACGCGACCGCAAGCAACAAGCATGGTGCGTGCGCTCAACCACGCCGCACCCGCACCCGCACCCGCACCCGCACCCCACCACCATCACCACCACCATCACCACCACCACCACAACTGCCAACAGCTCGCAATGGCCGCACCGCTGCGATCTGTGCACGCCACCTCGGGCCAGAGCACAGCACCTCCACTCGCCACGCCTGCCCCCACTCGATCCTTGACCTCTGCACGCGCCATCGCATCCGCTCGATCGCTGCCAGCCTTGTGCTTTGCTTCGTCTGCCTCGGCTGCGGCTGCGACTGCGGCTGCGAGCAAGAGCACTGGAACAAAGTCGCGCATCCACAGCGATGCGCAGCTGGCTCATTGGATGGGCAAAAGCGCAGCGCATCGCCTCTTGGTGCTGCTGGTGGAGCGACTGTGCGAAGCTGCTGTCGGCTGTCCCACCACGACTTCCACCAACCATGCAGCGCCTACCAATGCCGGCATCGCATTGGTGATGGATGTGCTGCAGGAGCTGGACAAGTGGACCGCAGAGATTCAGCCACACACTGGCGCGCAGAGGTTCGGCAATCTGGCATTCAGGGATTGGGGTGCCAGGCTGGAGCAGGTGAGCGCGAACAACTCTGTCACGGCATTCACCCGTCACGCAGCCCACCCGCTAATACTCGCGAACGCTCGCAGCGCGTGGAAGATCTCCACAAACGACTACCTGAGCGCATACATGCGCACATTCCCGATCTGTGCGGCTACCTGCTCGGCTCGTTTGGCTCCTGGGTGCGCATCGACTACGGATCTGGTCATGAGCTGGCCTTTCTCGCTTGGCTGCTCGCCCTCATCCAGCTGGGCGTGTTTGGAGAATTGCAAGGAGACGATGCTGAGGCGGTCAAGCCTGCAGAGGGCGCTCAGACACAGGTGCCGTTGGAGGTGGATGCGCATGCGATCGGGCAAACGCTTGCACCGCAAGGCTACGAGAGGGAGCTGGCTACGCGCGTGCTGCCCGCTTATCTGCGCACCGTCTGGTCTTTGCAAGATCGATATGGTCTAGAACCGGCTGGCAGTCACGGCGTATGGGGCCTCGTGAGTGCTCAAGTGTCGCGAGTGTCGCGAGCAGCTAGCTTCGACGCTTATCTAGTAGCCTCGCGCACACAGGACGACTATCAATTCGTGCCTTACATCATCGGAGCAGCTCAATTGCGGCGTCAGTAGCGGTGGGCGTTGTTGCTCGCGATCGCGATCGCCGTGCCCCGCTCACACTCACGACCATTCGCTCTTGCCCCGCTCGCAGTGCAAAGCGAGTATAGACCGCAAGAGATTGCTGCGTCGTCTCACAAGCCGGCGGCGGGATCATCGCCTTGCGCTCTGCTAGCATTTCGAGGTACAGCACCGCTGCCAAACCTCTTCACCTCGTCCATCGCCCGCATCCACGTCCAGAAGCGCGGTCCATTTCGAGAGCACTCGCCGCTGCTCGAAAACATCTCGGCCACGGTGCCCAACTGGGTGAAGCTGCACCAAGGCATGATCAAGATGTGGAAAGCAGAGTGTCTTGGAAAGCTTCCTGTGGTGCAGCACCTGCCCTTTGGCAGCGTCGGTCTGGTGTGGGATGGCGGGGAGAATGGCGAAAAGGTCGGCGTTGGCGCGACCACGCGCATCGATTCGACCAACTTGTTGCCCGCTCGTGGCGGTGCTACCACGGCGGCGACGGTTCCGACGGGCGCTCCTTGGGCAAAAGTTCCAGCGCCTGCTTCGGGCGCACCTTGGGCTCACGCTCCAGCGCCTGCTTCGGGCGCACCTTGGGCTCACGCTCCAGCGCCTCTCTCACGGGCTCAAAACAGCACCTATTCTGTGAGCGGGCCAGGCGCTCGCATAGCAAAGCAAGACCAAAAAGCAAGCGAGCGTCAATTGTGAACGCGCGCGGAGGCGGACGTCGGACGGCGTCTTTGAGATTCTCGGCCCGCATGTACGCCCGTGTCAGACGGAGGTCGCCGAATCTTCTTCCATTCGACATCTCGACGCGTGTCTGGCAAGATCGCGCTCGAAATATCGAAATGGGCCGATCGAAATGCGCCGAGCCGTCCGCTGCACCGCCACGCTGCGCCACGATGGAAGTTCTGCTGAACACGTTGGGCGATCACGTCAAGCGACGCGACGCGCTCGCCATCCAAACGATCGATCTCGAAGCGGCAATCACCGATAGTGGCGTCATTAGTGCAGAGCGTGACGGAGCGCAAAAGGTTGCCGTGTTGGTGTTGCCGCTGGTCGTCCACGTTTAAAGCGAGACTGATCCGACTCGATGGATGCGATCTGCCCTCTCCACTCTCATCCTGCTCCCTTTTTTTTTTGCCACCATGATTGCCACAGTGCGACCCTTTGTCGCCGTCACGCTAGCATCTCTCTGTACCGTCGCCTTTTCGCTTCCCCACAAGCGGGACTTGTGGACGCGGCCTCGCCAGGCGGTATTCTCTACCCAGGTGAGCACGTGTGCGCATGAGCTCAGTGATGCGCCCCGCTCACTCGTCGAGGTGCACGCAGCTCGTCAAGCGAGTCATTTTTAGCAGCAACACAGTCATCTCAAACGGGGACCATCGCCGGACGATGGCCTTGAGTGCGAAAGACTACGTCAAGCAATTCCCAGACGCCAAGTACGTGACTCCAGTGACTGGATTCAAGTCGCCGACGCCAGATATGCCAAAGACGCACTTTCATGCCAGGGTGTACGCGACGAATGTTCCCAGTAGAGCCATCAGGGATGCTAACGGAAACGTGGAGCACAAAATTCCCATGGCATCCGGTCGCGGTTTCGTCAAGTACGGCAAAGTGACCAACGAACATGTCCACGAGGCGCCCGCCACTGACGAAGATGTCGAAAAGTATCGCCGCACGCACACTGGACGGTATCCCCGTCGCGTCGAGGTCGACTTGCTCGACGAGCATGGAAATGCCCCTGGCGAAGCGGTGATTTCCAACGCTACCAATCGTGGTGGTAAAAGAGGTTCACGCAAAAAGGAAGCGATCCAACAAGAGCCGCAACGAGAGGTGCCAGCCGAGCCCAAAGAAAAGTCCTACTACGACGTCGTGCACGAGGCGAGGCTCAGACGCGCTGCCCGCGCTGAAAAATTGTCCCTCGCAAAGCTCCAACCAAAGCCGCCTGCTCAGCAAGACCAGAGGCAGTTGCTGACGCCCGAAGAACGCAAGGCGAAGAACGCCAGACCTCATGGACCGGGCGGACAGTTTCTCAGTCTGAATCCCAACAAGCGGCCAAAGACGACGGAGAAGTCCGCGCCGCTTGAGCGACCTCGCGACGCCTCGGGACGCTACTGCCGAGGTGAAGCGTGCACGACGATTGCGCTTGATTCTAGTAGCAGCAAGTCGCCCACCGTTCACGAGGTGCATTCTTCGACCCCGCAAACGACACATGACGCTGATGTGGGCGAGTCTAGCAGTGTCTCGAACAGTCCACGACGTTCAACGCGTCCTTGGAGCCCATCCCACGTGGTCTCGCCGCTGCGCGAGCACTCGCGCACTCCGGCGTTGAGCCCGCTCAGTGATCTCTCTGTACCGCACGCGAACGAGCACGCGCACTCGTCGTCGCCTCCGTGGAGCCCGTCAGGGGCAGTGTCACCGCTGCACGAGAATGCTCTGCCCACGCAACACTCGCCTGGCCATTCAGAGACACATCCTTGGAGCCCTTCAGGTGTAGTGTCACCCCTGCACGAGAACGCTTTGCCCGCGGATTACTCGCCCGACTCTCCGTCTCGTCGGCCTGAAAGCCCTGCTTGGAGCTCGTCTGCTGCGGCCTATCCGCCACAGCAGCGCCGCACGTCGCCTCTACGCTCTCCGCATCGCCTACACTCGAGCCCGTCGTGGAGCGCTTCCGGTCGTGCGTCGCCAACGCACGACTTTGAGCTGGCGCATCTCGTACGCAGTCCGCCAAGACAGTCGCTGTTGGATGTGATTGGAAGTGCTGCGAAACATCTGCCACGCGTGTGATGGTGCGGAGCGAGTGTAGGGTTGGAACTAGGCTGCTGCCATCGTGATACTCTAGTTTCCGATGGATGCTGCTTGCTCGACTTTTTCACCTCGCAAGCGACGAGTTTTGCCAAAGCAGTCGACTCCAGCATCGATTCGCGCAAACCTCACAAGGCGCTGCCAATGCACCAGAGCAAGCGCACGAGAGCTCACCGCGATTCAAGTGGTCTCATTGCCCTCGCGCTGTAGGTGTGGACTGCTGCAGAATCTCACGTTGCTCTTTTGCGCGTGCTCCGTCTCTCTACAGACATGAATGTCGGAAGAGACAGTTCTACGATTGTGAGCCCGTGAGCCCGTGAGCCCATCATGTCGAGCAGTCACGAATAGTGCACCCGACAAAGCACTTTCTCGCGCGTGCAACCTAGCAATGCAGGAGCGCATTTCAACCCACAAGAGCTTGCTTTGTCAACGTCCATCTGAGGTGACTACGTAGACTGCCAACTCACATGGGCTGACTGCATTCAGCGACAACACCTCTAGCAAACCAGACATCGCATGTGAGCTTCGGCGATTTGAATGTCTGGCCTACAGCGCCGCGCGAAGTCCATCGACTTACCTGACGGCCCGTTATGGCCTCGAAATGTTGATGAAGTGAGGAGCCAAGTCCACGGCTCGCACCGCGCATCGACTTGAGTCAAGCGAGGGTTGTGTTGGTTGCGATCACAACCACTACGAACCACCATTGATGATTCAGGGTTTGATTTAGTTTTAGTTATTCGCAAGTCACAAATCAAGAGTCGCGGTCGAAATTCAGTGAGCCGGATTACGCCATTTTGCATCTGCTTGCGCGTATCCCTCGTACGAGAGGATCACAGTATTGCGCACTCAGACTTGTGCACGGGCCACGGTCGCGGGACCAAGTTTTACAGTCGCGAGCTGCCGGGGTACGCTTCCAAACATTCACACTCACGTTCCTGCATGTTCACGCTGCTTGCGGACGGCATGCACGATGGTCACGCGGTGTGCTGCTTGATTGCCGCAGGTAACACGGAGCTAATCGTGCAGGATCAAAATCAATCGTGCATCACGAGTGTGTGAATCGAAATTGTGATTCAAGATTCGTGAGAGGGTCCTTCTCCGTCCCTATATGTAAGTGCAGTCAAGAGTCTCGAGGCACTTTGCTCCTCGAAAGTCAAAGCGCTGCTTTAGATGGGCATCTGCGTGCTATGCCACACCAAAGCCGAAAGGCTGCGAAACGCCTATTTAAAGGCGCCGATTTATGTGTCCCACCTCGACGAACCCCCGCTCTCCTCATCTCGCGACCGCTGATCACAGGTCTCCACTCTCCATCTTACACCACCATAGCTCCCTTCGCGCTCCCCCTGCGCTCGATCGACATTCCACCTCGTCTTCCTCCTCACACCCTCTCATCTCGATCCTGACTTCATTCCCTTGCCACTCGGCGCCCATCCCCTCACTGTGACGCTTCCATACTGCCGACCATCACTGCAGCCAAGATGCTCTTCGAGCTCTGGTCCGACTCGCATTCTGCGCCTATCCTTTTCAACTTCGTAGTTCTCCTCCCTTGGGTCATCCTCGTCGCATTCGTGGCCCGCTCCGCCTTTCGGTCCATCTCAAGACGCGCCCGTCCGAATACTCACATAGCTCAACGCGAAGACTTTGCAAAGATGTCCTTTGTGCTGAGCCTATGCGAAAGGACGTACGCAGCGCCCGGACTTCTCCAGAACAACGCGATACTATGGGACCATACAATGGTGCGGGTTGCCCGGTCCGGGGTCATTTGGATTTGGCAAAGGAACAGCACTCCACCAGAACAAAGACAATGGATCATTGCGATCAAAGGCACTTCGAATATACGCGACCTTTTCCAAGACGGGCGCCTCTTGCTCGATACCGCGCGGCCTGGCCGATTCAACAAGTGGCAAAGAGACGCTTTCGCGCTCCGCAGGCAGGTTGAAGAATTGTTGACGGAACTCGGAGTCAACTTGGACGAGGACAAGGTAACCTTCATCGGTCACTCTCTTGGTGCAAGCCATGCAGAGTATTTGCTGCATTTCTTCCGCCAACGATCAAGAACCCAAACAAACCTTTACGGCTTCACAATCGATTCCCCAGGTCAGCCACCCAGCTTTCGCATCGAAACAGGGATGCAAGGGCCGCTACCAAATCTGACGACGCTCAACGCGCCACCCAATCTCTTCAATACGCTCAATGTACCTGTCGCCCAGACCCTGTACTGCTGCGGGGACGGGCCCGACGTTCACTTGAACATAGTGTGGAACGTAATCAGTACCAGCTATAATTTCAGTGCGGATGTGGCCTGGTTTGCGCTGAAGGCATTTGGCAGATATTCCGCAAACCACTACTTGAAGAGCATCAAAGACTACCTGGACGATTGCGACATTTCTGAGACTACTGCTGCGCAGTGGCCCACTTACACGAACACTGTCGTCGCCTACATCCCAATCCTGCCTTCTGCCACTGCATTTCAGCCACTTGCACCAGGACCAGGACCAGGACCAAGGCCACCGCGACCGCGACCGCCACCGCCTCCTACAGCAGCTCCTCATCGCCCTCCTGTGGCCCGCAGACCTCAAGAGGATGACCATCCAGGTCTCGAGCGTCTTCCAGGGGCAAGAAATGAGATGGTCACGGGCGTGCCTTACAAATGCTCTGGGGACGGAGACGTTACTCGCTTTCAAAGCATGCTCGTAGGCTCGGACAAGGTTTTGGCTCTCATTGCAGATTCTCTTCAAGGCAAATCAAGCATCTTCAAAGTCTTTGTGGGGCTCCTCTTTTCAGATCGCCGGATACGAGTCAGTCGCAGAGCGAACACAACCCGCTGGCCGATCGTGGCCAAGATTGGAGAGTTTGTGGTGGATGCAGAGAACGGCAAAAGAAGAACCGTCTTCCTGGTAGATATCCCAGGACTCGGAGGCCAGGGCATGCTCTCGCAGCCGAATGGTTGGGCAGAAAATGACGCCAGAGTGCTACTTGACAAGCTTCGCAGCTGGATTGGAGTCATCTACTACATTCGGCGCACTCCCTTTCTTGACGATGCTGCCACCAGACTGCGCCAAATCCAAAATATATGTGGAGACGAAATCGACATTCGTTACATCCACAACTACGACGGATTCAGCGACCGCCCGCAGGAACATGAAGAGCATCGTGCAGACTTTGTAAATGCGCTACCACCGAACACTCCCATCATTCAGTGTACCGTGGTGCGGGACCCTGACTCGACTAAAGAAGAACGCGACCGTCATGACGACGTGGCATTACTTCGGGAGTGGAGGTCTGAAATTTCGCCAGAGGCGCTGCGATCCAACGCAGGCACATTCGCCGACCGACAGAGAAGGTCAGCTCCGCAAGATGCTCAGCGAGATGCTCAGCAGGCGGGCCATGCACATGATGCCGCAGTCCGGCGGGGTGCCTGGAGCACGACATTTACGGGCGTACTGACCTACCTCCCTGGAGCGCCGTGGTGGAGCCCCTACCTTGGACCATCTCTGACGACCAGCATTGGAGTCATCGGCGCGGTAGCCGTAGCTATCTCTGTCGGTGTCGGAGCCGGGGCCTACTACGTTGCTTGTTATCAACACACAATCTGCGGCGCGCTGCCCCAGCCTGAACGCATCGTTTCTGAGTCCTTGTCCCTATTCCTTGTCGCCAGCTACGCAGTTCCACGCGCACTGTCACACGCCACGATATCATGTAGATAAATAGTCATCCCCTGAGTCGAGTCGAGTCATGCGTCACCGAGCGAGCAGATGATCAGAGCGTGAAGTCCCCTTGCAAGCACGTTCAGACCCTCTCCATCCTGCTTGCACGCCTCCCATTCTCCCAGGCTCTCGGCTGTCCAAATTCATCCACTTGGAGTGCTCGATGACCCAGTGCAGAATCATGTCTCGCGAGTGAGACAAGAAATTTGAATAGACATGCCGCGACTCACAATTTCGCTTGGAGGGGCCTGGCTCGACGGCCATCGAGGATCAATAAAACCAAGGCTTCCACTCGTGACTCAGCTTCGCAGACAGATCTCGACGGGAGTGAAGGGCGCGGGAACGTTCAAGCTTCATCGAGGGGTGTGGACCAAGCGTGGGCGTGAGAATTTTGGGTCTCGAGGCACAAAAGAGTGTGCATTTTGGCTCAAAAACTTTGAGTCTATGCTGGCATTCTTGGATTGGCTTGTAAAAGTTGTTGTGGAGACATTTGGCTTACCAGGCAGTGTTCTCCTGGCTCTCAGCTGTCAGAATGGGGTCTCATTTTGGTTATGGGGAGGCCCAACAACTTTCGCAGAGGGTGCGCGTGTCTGGTGCACGTGCAGTGGCAGTGAACTTGAAAGCGCTCGCGAAAGTTGTTGAGAGCATTTGGAGACATTTGGCTTACCAAGCAGTGTTCTCCTGGCCCTCAGCTATCAGAATGAGACCTCATTTTGGTTGTAGAGTGGCCCAACAACTTTTGCAGAGGGTGTTTGCGTCTGGTGCGCGTGCAGTGGCAGTGAACTTGAAAGTGCTCGCAAAAGTTGTTGAGAGCATTTGGAGTCATTTGGCTTACCAAGCAGTACTTTCCTGGCTCTCAGCTATCAGAACAAGACCCCATTTTGGTTGTAGAGTGGCCCAACAACTTTCGCAGAGGGTGTTTGCGTCTGGTGCGCGTGCAGTGGCAGTGAACTTGAAAGTGCTCGCGAAAGTTGTTGAGAGGGTTAGGGTTAGGGTTAGGGTTAGGGTTAGGGTTAGGGTTACAAGGGGGTGTGGAATAGGGTTTTTGGAGTTTGTGTTATAGGCATCTAGAGGAGCTCAAGGAGAGCCATTTGTTAAAGCAGCGCCAAAAACCCTACAGGTTTGACAGCATGAGGTCCATCTAACCTCAAGATGGTCTGGTTAGAGTGCCTAACTTGGGCGTCTTTGAGAAAAGTGTTTGTTCTTTGTTACAGTGACCTACATGAGGCTATGGCATGAGACTTTCTGGAATTGGATTGCACAAAAGTCTATCAGGGATGGCGCAAAGTGCTTCTAAGTTCAGCTTGGTCCCTTAAGTTGAGTCATCTTCAGCATACTTGACACAAGTTGAGGATCAAGTTGAGGGAAGATGACCTGA